CATACCGACAGTCCTCCGGGGCATGTTTGTACGGATTCGACCTACACTTCTCCGTTCCCTTACACCAGACCTTGAATGGTTTAGCCTTCTTGGCTTCTCTATCACTTGACGGATTGGCATTAAGTCGAGATCTTTTATGACTAGATCTCGGAACCTCTCTAGGAGTGTATTCCGATCTGGACTTGATGGATCGCAAATACTGTTCTCCAGCGTCTCCTCCATACTTCTGGATAAACCAATGGGCGTCATCGGTTCGTTTCTCACCTAAGGCACCTGGTGTCTTTTCTAGGAACTCTAGAAACTCCTTCAAAGAGCTAACACTTTTCACTGAGCCGAATTCCTTGATGACAGCCTGAAATCCTACGTCGGACAGATGATTGCATAAAGCTTTGATGAGCATATAGCAGCCATCATCTGGGATTCCAGCTGCCTCAACCAGTGGTAGCAATCGTTGCGCGAACGACCTAATAGTGTCATTCTTCTCAGGCCTCATAACTAGCGCCATATCAGCGATGTAAGCCCCTAGAATGTCAAACTTTAGAGCTTTATTCAAGCATGTAACTGCCCGAGACCAGGTCCTGTCTTGAAGAGGCACTTTCTTGATGAGATCGTCATAGTCTCGCGCCAGGCCGGACACTTTGGAAACGCAGAGGGATAAGTAATCCCATGCTAGTTTGTCGAAAAGAACATCAGAAAGGTTACGACGGAATATCCTCTCAAAGTCATCACGGAAAGTGACAACCCTGATTGCTATTTCCTTGACCATATTCTTGCCGGGAACCTTGGACACGTCTAAATCAAGCATAGGCGCATCCGCAAACGTTTTCTTCTTGACCTTGGTATAGTCTACCTCTTCTGAATCTTCCATCAAAGGAATGTTCTCTTCTTTGAAGATTCGATGAAGTGCGTCATGTTCGGGATTAGCAGGATCCCATTTCACCGTTATACGGTGACTATCTGCTTCAGACACACTCGATCTATCAATCGAAACGTCCTCGCTTGAAGATAAGCCATTTCTGACCTCCTCCATATGTTCAATAGAACTATTCAAGTCTTCAGTTTGTCTTACTAAGACCTTCAAGATGTCTGCCTTCTGTTGAGCGAGATCGCCTAAGGCCTTGGTAAGTGTCTTTTCATCAATGTCAATTTTTCTTAACTTTGATTTGGCATCATTGTACCTAAGGAACAGCAATGCCTTCTTTCTGAGTGTCTCCTCCTTCTGAAGTCTATAACTTCGAAGAAGCATCGTAACATTCTCGATATCGGGAACAGCATCACTGCCGAACTCGACTACACTCTCCGTCGTATCTACGACCAGGCTAGCCACCAATAAGTTCAACTGCTCGACAGGTGTCAAGCCTGAGCCATTCTCTGGTGAAGAGATTTCCATATCAACATCTTCGTTAATTGGTACTTTATTAATATTAGACATGATTGAAATAAAGGGATTGAAATTATGGAAAAAAAAAATGGTTGGATGGATTGATAAAATGGATGGATGTAACTCTATGTAGATCCTTGAAAAAATGATATGTTTTATGGTAAATCGGAAGTCAAGGAGATCAAAAGTTGTTTATTATTTTAGCTAGGTCGGAGCCTTATATAGGCTCCAACATAGCCGTCACTAATTGCTCTGATCTATGAATAAAAAGGGGAGTGCTCCATTTGGGTACACTCCCTAGCCTCAGGACGTAACACAATACAATTGAAGTTAAAAAACAAAAACAAGAAATAAATCTAAAAGCTTGTTCGGGTTTGATGCCTTCCAAGGTTCCTTGCGGCGGCTTCCTCTCGTTCCGTTTCTTCTAATTCTCTGCCGTTTCCGCGCTTGTATTCGATGCTATCCCTTCAACCGTGATTAGGACAGATATGTCCTGTAACCTTAATCTCTCACAGTATATTCTCGTTTTCTCAAAAAAAAAAATATTAGGCCACCCCCCCCCTCCTTTTCTAAACTCAATCGAAATAGCGTAGAAAATTACACCGTGAACTCATCAATCCTTTTTATCGTCATTTTTGCAAACCGGGTTCCAATATATTACTATTCTAAAATGAACGAGCCAGAGACCGTGGCTTCGCCACGGTCGGCTCTTGCCTCGTTAGAAAATTCAATGCTTAGCCTCGTAAGACAACAAAAAGAAACATTATCTACAGCAGCAAAAGGTTTATATTTTGACATAGGAATGAAGACAATAAACTCACGTAGGCCTTTGGCCTTTTACTACTGTAAAAATTATGTGTAAACTGCACGTTTTTTTTATTACAAAACTAAAATACAAAGCTAAAATACAGTAGATAAAACGCAATAAAGTAGAATACAAAATATACAAAATAAAATACAGACGAAACTACAATCAAGAGGGAGAATATCTGGTAATCACAACATTTGATAGATTAACGACGGCGAGGAGGTAACGCAGTAAATGGCAATCAAAAGACAATGTGGCTATAAAGCATCTTTGAAGACAATGTTCCGTGTGTATGTTCCTAGCCTATCTCTTACCTTGCCGTTCGCGATAAGTACCTTAAGATTATTTGGGTCTGTACACCGTGACAAAGCAACGTAGAGATGACCATGGCTGAAAACATCTTGAGGAAGATAAACACCAACATGTTTGAGTGTCTGTCCCTGGGACTTGTTGACGGTCATGGCGAAGGCAGGCTTGACTGGAAATTGTCGTCTGCAGAACATGATCGGAGAAGAATGATCATCAAGTGTCGTAAGCGGTATGCGAGGAATAAAGACACACTCTCCTTGAAATTGTCCTTTCATAATCTCGGCCTGGATCATTCTTGTGCCTAATGCATGTACAATCATGCGAGTACCATTACATAGTCCACGCTTTGGGTTCAAATTGCGAAGAAGGATGACGGGCTGACCAACCTTTAGCTCCAGTTTAAACGGAGGCAAGCCTGGCGGGGAGAGGTTGTTCAGGTATTCCACAGGATAGTGAGCCGTAGCTGCTGCTTCGGGGTCTTGAAGGCTATCTTGACCAATATAACTGACCGACTGCTGGGTGCTACAGAGCATACTGGTGGCTAGTTGATTCAGTTTATCGACATCCTCATTAAGGGGACTCAAGATAGCGCGCTCAATGAGCATCTCAGGAAGGAGTCTAGCATTTTCGATATCCGGAAATATCTGCTTAATGAGTAACTGAAGACTGATGTCACATAAAATGCATACAATATGATATAGTACGAAAAAATTAAAAAATATAAAAAATAAAAAATAAAAAATAAAAAATAAAAAATAAAAAATAAAAAGGAAATAAAGAGTGAACAAAATGTAGCTCACCTTCGCCTTTGTGTGGGTCTCTCATTTTCGATATCAAGGTCATGGTCAAAGCTTCGCTCGCGCACTGCTTCATGATTGGCTTCATTTTGGATATGGCTGCTAAATCAATGGATCAATGGACAGTAATAATCCGTTATAAAGTCAAATCGATGGCGAGGAAGAGTATGATTATATGAAATATTTAAAGTACGTAGAGCCCACCTTTCAGCACTCGGACATGTACTTCGATTATGTCCTGGGCGATTGCAAGTGCTACACATATGCGGCCTTTGGGGCTGGCTAACAATATTTACCCTTATATATATATGATGAGAATAAAATAATAGAGGGCTAAATAAATAAAATAAAATAAAAATAAAATAAAAATAAAATAAAAATAAAATAAAAATAAAATAATAACTTCTTTACCCTCTCGTGGGACCAATAACCTGCTCCAGGCGTGAAGCGGAGGGAAGGTTTGTGCGAAGCTCAGCACGCTCTGTTTTTTGAGGGCAGAGCCGCCTATCATGCTTTTCACTGTTGCACAGACTACAGGTGCGGACCATGTGTTTATGAAATCTAGGTGCTGAGAGAAAAATTCAAATTGACAATAATGTAGTTGTATTGGGTGAAAAAGACAGAAAAGGCCTTTGGCAGCGCTGCCTGCCTACTATATCCTCTACCACATTATCGATGGATAAGTTTTGACACTTTTATTTTATTTCACCGCCAGAAATAAAAACTGGTCAAAATGAGAATGATTTTCATTTGACCAGTCTTTATGGATTCTCTTACAGAAAACAGAGCTCTGGCGACGTTTATTGACGATCATTTATTTTTTCCGCCCTCCACAGCTTTATATTCAGAGGCTCTACATCAAACAACAGCTCCGCAAAACATCTGGGGCAATTGATGGGTGCAGCTTCATAGTGCACATACGCTTCATTCATCTTCTCTGAAGATTGTGATTGATAAACTGGTGGCGGAGGAGTTGCGGGGCTGGCTGCTCCAGAGAAGGACAAATACACTTATATTGAGAAGAGCAGCCGATTGATTTTGTGGCTTATTGTGGTGGCGCGGGCTCATTTCAAGTAAACTAATTGGCTGCAATACATTCGGAGGTTACTCAAAAAATATATTTATGGCTGTGGCGCCAATATCTTTACATTGATCTACTGCAGACTTTTTACAGGACAAATGTGTCCTCCAAACCTTACGGTCGAAGGGATAGTTATATACAGTTACTGCTGTAGTAATAGTAGCTGTTGCATTAGCAACAGAAATATCTGTTACGCTCTAACTATTTTGAGTGTTAAGAAGTTAGCTGTTCATTTGTGTCTATGGTTATGTAATGAAATCCCCAGCCCACAAGCTCTCGATCTTAATTCAAGAGATTGATAAGGAGCCAGGAGACTGCAGCAATGGACGAACCCCTGCTTTGTACTTCTCTATAATCTATCTTCTCAGTCACTCGGTAACAAAATAGTTGGTTTTATGAAGAAAAAAAAAATCATGGAAACGCCTCAAAGGGATAGTGCTTCACTAAGAGACGTAGATAACGGTGGATAAAGTCATACCGCGATAACTGATATGGTAGCAATAATTATCTAGAGCTTCAACATGACCAGTGCAAGTGCCAGTTTTATGGGGCCACACTGATTGCCAGACTGGTCTATCTCCTAATAGTGCGACGTATGATCGGCATTGCAGGGACAAGGAAAACGGCATTTTTCCATTGTTTTATTTTATTACATGATGATATGAAATGTTATAATTATAGAAGATTATACACTATAAAGATGAAAGATGGCGCCCCTCCACTCCTGAATGCATAAAAACTCTTTTACTTCTGCTGTCCCGTAATGACAATGGGGTTGCTGAACTCATGTGTTTCAAAGTCCTTAGGATAGGCGCCCTTGCTCAACTTGTGCTGAGCAGCGACAACAAGGTTATAAACTCCATGTTTGGAGACAAGCACTGGAGTCTCGGATGGATCCATGGTTTTGGTGTACATACCATCCCAGATCCAGGCATTGAAATAGAGAGAACCATCATCATTATAGGTGGGGTCACGTCCCAGCCAGCCAAAAGATTGTCCACGGTTGGCGCTGTGAGCATATCCAACAAAGTTCTTCTTATCGTCGAAGATACGGATGCTGAATTCAGGAGTATGCGAACCAAGACGGGTCAAAATAGCTGGTAACTTTGTGCTGGAAAGATTGAATTGATAATCTGGAGTAACATCCTCCAATGAATCATCACCATCATATGCGAGCAACAAGGGGAGACCACTGTCGGTGTCAAAGATTGGAACCTTGGCAATATCTCCCTTGACACCAGTGTATGGAACATGAACAGCAACACCGCCCTTAGTCTTAGGAGTCGCAACGACATATCCAGAGTACAGAGGGAATTCTGAAGCATCGCCCTTCTTGGGCTCCTTGAATGTCAAAGTGATCTTGGCAGTCTTACCAGCAGGGATCTTGACTTTGTCAACAGAGAATTTGACAGTGGCATAAGCAGCTTCAATGACAGGGGTACCCAAAGGGAAGGTGTTCTTATTGGGGTACGAGTTCAAAGTATCGGCAGGGATGTGAGAGAGTGTGTAGGTCTCAGTGTGCTTTCCCTCGTTCTTAATCGAAATCTTGACAGTCTTCTTGAAATGGGTCGAGTCAAGAAGGTCAATATGGTCAGGGAAGATGGAGGTTTTGGTAGTGATGGCGCTCAAGACATTGATGAGACCAGCACCCTGCTTAGCAGCAGATGCCTTGGTCTTGGAGCCAAAGTTGGAGGCGATGGTAGCAGTGTTCTTAAAAATCTGACGAAGTTTATCACCACGGGGCTTGGATTTCTTGGCCTGAATATACAACGCATGAGCACCAGCAACGTAGGGGCTGGACATGGAGGTACCGGAGAGGATAGCATAACCACCCTTAGCAAGGGGAAAAGCTGACAAGATATTGCCACCAGGACCAGCAAAATCAGGCTTGGAGCGAAGGTCTCCATCCAAACCGAAAGAAGAGAAGTCTGAAGGAGCTCCACCACCTTCGATCAAGAAGTTGGAGGGCTTCTTGCTCCAAACCAATCGAGTCTTGGGGTCCTTTTTCCAGGCAGCAAGCATGTCATTACCAGCCTTGTTTTCAATCGAACCCATGGGGAAACCGGGATTGCCGGCCAAGCCTGCGAGTCCGAAGGGAGTGGTCTGGACCAGGATACCAGCAGCACCGGCATCCTTGGCGTTGACACCACGAGCACCAGACTTGCAACGAGTGAGATCACCAAAGACAAGGACGACCTTACCCTTGACATCAGTGCTCTTGTAGATGTTGGGATCGCATCCATCTGAAAGCGAACCATCCTTCTCAAAGATAGGGACAAGAGTAGCGCTGGCAGGAAGATCGATGCGGTTGTTGTAGTTCTCAGATGGACTATAAGGGTGTGCCGCACCGCCATAGGAGACGGAATCATAAATGCCGTAGATGTTGTCGAAAGAGGCAATGGAGCTAGCAAGGTCGCCCAAACCAGCATCTGAAACCATCCAGGCTCCGTCAGAACCGGCGTTGCCAGCAGAAGCAACCAAAGCCATGCCGTGAGCAATCAATTTATCACCGAGGATAGAAATTGGGTTGTTCTTGTAAGCGGAACCACCTCCAAGGGACATGTTGATGACCTAACCAAATAAATAAATAAAAGGCTGTGAGCAAATTGGAAAAAAAAAAAAAAAAAAACACGCACATACACTGCTTATACAAAAAGTGAATTAAAACTTACGTCCATGCCATCGTTGAAGGCCAGCTCCATGGCAGCAAGGATAACATCATCTCCAGCAGAGCCTTTACATCCGAAGATGCGATAGGCACCAAAAGTAACTTCAGGGGCAACACCAACAAACGGCTGAGGAGGCTTAGGAGAGGTCTTGGAGTCCACAGCACCACCACCGAGAATACCAGCAACGTGAGTACCATGTCCCCCGCAATCACGAGGATCCGAGTCAGGCTTGGGATCTTCTCCAGTGTAATCATCACCAACAAAGTCCCAACCGTACTTGACACGGCAGTTCTTGCCATAGCGAGCAAAGCATCCCTCCTTAGCGCCAGGGACAGCAAAGGAAGGGTGCTTGTAATCAATACCAGTATCGATGACACCGACCTTGACACCCTTTCCGGTCAACTTGTACTTCTTGTGGACAATGTCAACACCAGTCATAGTGTGAAGAGAAGCGGCCGCTGGATCATTGCTCTTCATGTTGCTCTTCTGGAGCTTGGGGATGGAATAAAGAGTGATGGGCCAAACGTTCTTGACACCAGGCAACTTGGCAAGCTCTTCACCCTTATGACCAGACTTGACAGTAACAGCGGCTCCGTTGAAGACGTTGTACTGGTTACGAACCTTGAAGTCGACCTTATGAGACTTCAAAGAGTTCTGTGCCTGAGCGTGGTTAACATTGTCATCATACTGAATGATGTAACCATTGGAGATAGTATCGTGAGGATTGATCTTATGAGGGTGGAATGTGCCTGCAGAGACCAAAGAGGCCGCTGCCACAACAGAAAGGATTGTGGCTGTGAGTTTCATGGTGATGCTTTACGCAAGGGTATGGATCTAAAGGGGAAGAAAGTAAGGATAATGGGGTATGAATTTTTTTAGGATCTGTCTGTCAAGACCGGTGAGGGAGGGAAGGGGGCTGAATAAAGAGCTGAGGGAGGGAGAAGGAGTAGATCAATGAAGGGAGTCCTTGATGGCTAAGGAAAAAAAAAAAAATAAAGAGGAAAAGGAAAGGATGTATTTATACAACTTCTCCATCCGCTGGGCTGAGTACATTTTTCTTTTGGGCCACAGTATAATAATAATTTTATTAGATTGTCGTAAACAAACAAATAAAACGGTTCTGCATCCTCATTGTTTTTTCATTTCAAATGTCTTGAGCACTTGACTTTTTGAGATCTGGATTTTCCGTTATTTTTTCTGGTTTACTGAAGGCTCATTCCCAGCCCTTCACTTTGGGTGACTTAAAAAGGAAATGGAATTTCCTGTCACCTTTATAAAGCGAAGAGGGATGGGAACGAGCCTAGGTTTACTGTAGTCTTTCCCATCACTTTCACATATTCTTCCATGGTGAATCCAGGGATCAGTATTGAATAGTACAAAAGTAGACTAGGATACGGAACCGTCAAGTGGGAAAGAGAGCCGAGGGGAGAAGTGTGGCGATATGCTCTAGAAAGGAACTGAATTCATAATATATATAGTGTAATTGTATATGCATATGTATATAATAGAAACCCAAATGATTTACAAACAGTGCAACATCCATACCCTGCAGGAGGGTCCTTTTTCCTTGAGAAAGGAAAAGGAAGCAACAAGCATGTGGATTGGAAGACTTTCGACGGGTCTAGTTCATAGTGCAGTGGGAAATCTTTTTGGAATAAAAATAGGGCTCTCTCTTAACCAATGGCCTAATTATTTGAGAGCCTCTGCTTTTAGTTATTACTTGATTATTTCTATTTTCTCGATCATCACGGTAAAATTTGAGAAGCAAGAACGACAGCTTCCCTACCTGAATAGCATTTTTCTACGGTATACACATACATGTATATAAATATGTGTGTGTGTACTGGATGGATGTGAACATGTTGTAATATCGATTGTTTACACTGCACCGCTTTTTGTTTTTTCCTCTCTCTGAAATATATATAAACCTCTCTTCGCTATAGACATGTTTGTATACAAATATCGTTGATGTTTTTTTTTATTAATACTTTAAAGTTGGTTGCTTTGTTTGTTTTCTACTCAGCTAAAAGAATAAATATAATTTCATAAACGCCTCATCCCTCGCTACCATTTCTTTTCCATTGGTATTCCTTTTTGTTTTTTTCCCGAGGAATTCAGTATTGTAACCTGTATATTGCCTGTATATTGTGCAACAGACACGTTTTACGCGTTGCTCAGTTTGTGGTTGACATGTTAAGAGTTGAATCTAATATCTCATACGTGAAATCTGATTTTTCCCACCATTGTTTTTTCTCTGGCAAAAAAAAAAATTCTTACCTTCTTCTGAAAAGACCTTATAAATCGTATGAATATATAATCTTTGGTGGACTACTTTTACGAAACTACTCACAATGTATATCAAAAGTAAACTATCAGGATCTATCGCAGATAGAAGAGATGGTCAGCTTCATTGGTAGGAGTTATTCAAAGGGCCTTTCCATCATGTTTCTCTTCCCATTTTATTGGTGTCATTCGTCACTAGCAGACTAACAAGACCAACCACCTTGTAAAGTTTTGGTTTACGCGTTTCTTTCCTCAAAGAAAATCTGATCATCACTGCTTATTTCTCTTTTTTTTTTTTCTATGTGCCCTCATTTTTTCTTGTCCCTCAAGTACACTCTAGTTTGATTGCTTTTTTTTTTTTTTTTTTTTTTTTTTTTGCTCAATAGATGATAAACCTGTGTCTCCCTTTATCTGTTCTTTGACCTGTAAAGAGCCAATTGTAATTCGACTTTACTATATTTTGACATTCATTAGCTGGATCAACCAAATATTTTTATATATGATATTTAATCTTTCTTGATTATAGATGCCTTTAAAAAAATGCAACATTATTATTTATATTTTTTCTTTCTTTTTTCTTTTCTACGGGTCTAAATTACAAAAAAAAAAGTCGCCATTGTTCATTAAAAGAAAAAAGTGATTGGGGGATTAAATAATGAATTCATGAAGGATATGAAGGAATAGGCCTTTTTAGAACTTGATGCTGCCCAACTCAAAGGTCTCAAAGTCAGCAGGGTAAGCTCCCTTGGTGAGCTTCTTCTGAGAGGCAACAACGATCTCATAGGTGCCGGAGGGGAGAGTGACAGCCTCAGTAGCGTTTTCGGTGGGGAGAACCTTGCCAGTCCAGGTGAAGGAAGAGAAAACCAAGTGACCCTGGTCATCCAAGTTCTTCTGACGACCAACCCAAGTGCCAAAAGCATGAGCACCAGTCTCGCTGCTCAAGAAACCCTTGAAAGCCTTCTTGTTATCAAACACACGGACGCCGAACGAAGGAGTGTGCGAACCCAAGCGAGTCTGGACAACAGGCTTGTTGTTGACAAGGTCGAAAGTAAAGTTGGGGGGAATCTCCTTGAGTTCACCGCTGGCATCCTTGAGGGCCAAGGCAGGGAAGCCGGAATCAGTGTCGATGATGGGGACCTTGGAGACATCACCCTTCAAACCAGTGTAAGGGATGTTAACAGCGACATTGCTCTTCTCGGGAGTGGCAACGACGTATCCAGAGTAAATGGGGAACTGAGCAGCATCAGCCTTCTTGGGCTCCGAGAAGTACAAGGTGATCTTTGCAGACTTGCCGGCGGGGATCTTAACCTTGTCCTGAGAGAACTTGACAGTGGCATAGTTGGCCTCAATCACAGGTTCAGGAGAAGGATACTTGTTACCCTTGGCGTACCAGTTCAAGGTATCAGCGGGGACATGCGAGAAGGTGTAGGTCTCGGTCTTCTTGCCATTGTTCTTGAGGGTGATCTTGACGGACTTTTTGAAGTTAACGGAGTCCAAGAGATCAATACGGTCAGGGAAGATCGCAGAGGTGGTCTTGATGGCGTTCAAGACGTTAATGAGACCAGCACCCTGCTTGGTGGCAGAGGCCTTAGTCTTGGAACCAGAGTTGGACGAGATGGTAGCAGTGTTCTTGAAGACCTGACGGATAACATCACCATTGGGCTTGGACTTCTTGGCCTGCATGTACAAGGCGTGACTGCCAGCGACGTAGGGAGTAGCCATGGAGGTACCGGAGAGGACGGCATAGCCACCCTTAGCAAGGGGGTAAGCTGACAAGATGTTGCCACCGGGTCCAGCAATATCAGGCTTGGAGCGGAGCTCTCCATCCAAACCGAAGGAGGAGAAGCCAGAAGGAGCTCCACCGCCCTCAACACGGAAGTTAGCGGGGCTCTTGCTCCAAACCAAGGGGGTCTTGGCGTCCTTCTTCCAGACAGCAAGCATGTCATTACCAGCCTTGTTCTCAATTGAGCCCATGGGGAAGTCGGGGATACCGCCCAAAGTGGCCAAGCCAAGAGGAGTGGTTTGGATCAGGATACCAGCGGCACCAGCGTTCTTGGCATTGGTGCCACGAGCGCCAGACTTGCAGCGGGTGACATCACCAAAGGCAAGGACGACCTTACCCTTGACATCAGCAGTGTTGAAGATAGCGGGATCGCATCCATCGGACAAGGCGCCGTTCTTCTCAAAGATGGGGACGAGAGTGGCGGTGGAAGGAAGGGTGATGCGCTTGTTATAGGCCTGCGAAGGGGTGTATGGGTGAGCAACTCCAGCATATGAGACTGAATCGTAGAAGCCGTAGGCGTTGTCGAACGAGGCAACTGAGTAAGCCTTCTCACCCAAACCAGTGTCAGTAACCATCCAGGCACCCTGGGAGCCGTCGTTACCAGCGGCACCAATCAGAGCCATTCCGTGGGTAATCAACTTCTCACCGAGGATAGCGGTGGGGTTGTACTTGTAAGCGGAGCCACCTCCAAGAGACATGTTGATGATCTAAATGTTAGGGCAAGGCAAAAAAAAAAAAAAAAAAAAAAGTTAATTTATAGATTCAGAAGAATCTTGATTTACATTTGTATATGTATACGGTATGGGATGACTTACGTCCATGCCATCGTTGAAGGCCAGCTCCATGGCAGCAAGGATAACATCATCTCCAGCAGAGCCAGTGCATCCGAAGACACGGTAGGCACCGAAAGTGACCTCAGGAGCGACACCAACGAATGATTGAGGAGGCTTAGGAGAAGACTTGGAGTCCACAGCAGTACCACCGACAATACCAGCAACGTGAGTACCATGTCCCTGGCAATCAAGAGGGTCGGAATCTGGCTTAGGGGAGTTATCACCAACGTAATCATCACCAACAAAGTCCCAACCGTACTTGACGCGGCAGTTCTTGCCATAGCGAGCAAAGCATCCCTCCTTAGCACCAGAGGCAGCAAAGGAAGGATGCTTGTAATCAATACCAGTATCGATGACACCGACCTTGACACCCTTTCCGGTCAACTTGTACTTCTTGTGGACAATGTCAACACCAGTCATAGTGTGAAGAGAAGCGGTATCGGAGTTGTTGCTCTTCTGGAGCTTTGGGATGGAATAAAGAGTGATGGGCCAGACGTTCTTGACACCAGGAAGGGAAGCAAGGTCTTTGCCAGTGTGCTTCGAACGAACAGTGATGGCAGCTCCGTTGAAGACGTTGTACTGGTTACGGACCTTGAAGTCAACCTTGCGCGAGTTGAGCGCATTCTGAGCATCCTTGTGGCTGAAACCCTCCTGGTACTCAAGGATGTATCCGTTGGCGACGGTCTTCTCGGTGTTACCGATATCGTGGAACTTGCCGGCCGAGACCAAAGTGACTGCGGCCAAGGCGGAGAGGATGGCGGTGATCTTCATATTTGTTTATGAGGTAGAAAAGGATGGAGGAGTAAGGTATGATATATGTGTGGTGATCAATGTAAATGTGTCTGTAAAAGACTGTACAGGGTTTACCGTAAAGGTATGGAAGGGATGTGAGGGATGGCGGGGGGTTAAGGTAAGGGATGCGGTTGCAGGAGTCCAAAAGGCTGAAGAAAACAGCAAAAGAGTTGCGGGTGGGGCCTTGTATTTAAAGGGAAAAAGAGGATGAGAGTGGAAGAGTAAAATAAACCGTTGTTCCTGAGAACACAGACTAAGACACCAATCGCAGACTGAGAGGAAGGGTGTGAATGATGCATAGACTTTATTTCTTTGCACACATGCACACATGTACACAAACATGATAACCATGTAGAAAATGAAAGAGAATTGGTTGAATGTAATGGCAACATCAAAAAAAGAGCACTGTCGTTTTGTTTGTAAACAAAAGTGCAGATGTATTACAATATCTTTATTGGATCAAACTTTGTAGCATGCTATTCAGTCCTGCAGCTTATTCAATGTAATAAATTTGTATTACCTCACCCAACTTGCGTTTCTACAACGAAGGAAAAAAAGCTTTACAACGAAAAAACCTTCATGGATGGTCAAGCGCCATGGAATAGTGCTTGAACCCCCTTTATTTTATTTTATTTTATTTTTTTTTTTGCCATTTGGCAAGATAAGCAAAAGAGTGATTGGACATTGTGAGATAGGCTAGTAGTAGACCCTCAACAGGCTGATGGATTACGGATTCTTGCCTTTTATACCATTTTTGTCCCTTGACCCCTGACCTTATTCTATTTTGACTGTTTTCATTTCTCATGTCATCTAAATTAACCGCACAGCGGTAGTCTATCATTCCCCCATGTCAAAAAGCATGGAAAAGTTGTTCTCCCTTGCTGTCTGGAGTAAGCAATGATATTATTAAAAAAAAAAAAGAAGGGAGCTCTCACAAGGTTTGTTGGAATGTGTCTTATTAACATCTAGACAAAGTTATTATCATTAATAATTAGTAGCTTTAGTGACTGATATAAATCCTTTTTTTAATACTGTATCCTGTTTTCCTTTGTATGACTTTACACGATGGTTCGTATGCTACTCTTCTATTTGTCTACTTGGTCATCTCTACAAAATCCTTGCTTCCCCTCTCTCTATATTGCCTCTGGTAATGTCGGAAGTAAGATGGCGTTGTGTCCGTTCGGGCTATATTTTATTTTACTCTTCAGCTTAGTGTATGTAGTGAAACAAATCAGCGGCCGACTATTCATCCGATTGTCCAATCGATCTTAATCCAGGAAAGATTTTTTGCTCTCTTTCTTTCCTTACCCCCACAGTTTTTTTTTTTTTTTTTTTTTTTGCAAGTACTAGACCCTAGACCCTAGACCCTTGGCCTGTTTTTTTTTTTTTTTTTTTTCTTTCTTGAAGAATTGCTTCTAGATACGCCTTCGGACAATGCATCATGGGAACCCTGATGGATGTACACACGGAGCATGTACGTGCAGTAAAAAATGTGAGCCAACACAACGATGAGGCGAATGAAAGAAGGAGATTGGAAAGTAAAAGAAGAGCGGAGAGGATGTCTAGTTTGATAATGAAGAGGGTCCACTTCCATGTAAATATATATATATCAACATGTGCATGTATCATTACTTATTGAGCCCTTGTTTTGCCTGACAAAAACTGCATGTAGAGAGAAAGTGAGTGCAGGAAATGGAAAGTGCTCACAAGAAAGAGGTAAAAGAAATATCAAGCAGGGCTCATAACGGGTCAGGGCTCTTTTAAAGGACACACGCTCGTTGCGTGCCTTTGATCCAATGAAAAGAAGGTTCCCCTAGAAGCCCTCTGAGAAAATGACGCAGGAATTGAACTGTGTGCTGCAAAGGCATGTGTAATATAAAACAGAGTTTGTGCTGGAGTTGTCGCACGCCACACCGTGGGCAGTGGAGGGAAGAGAGAGAGCGCACGCCAACCTTGCATTACATCTGTGAATTTGCAAACCTTACATCGCCATCAATAACATGTAGTCCAGTATTCAATAGAAACCTCTATCGCAAAAAGGGAAAGGGAAAGGGAAAGGGAAGAGTTCTAGGCCATAAATGAATTCAAGATTTCCATTAATAACCTAAACACATAAACATATCCTTTTCCGTCTTTTTCATTGATCAATCAGATCATTCGTTCCGCAGCCTCGCTCATGGGAACCTCCTTCTTCCCCTCTTTCCTTTCTTCTTTGTATTCATATCGATAATCAAATGTTCACGAATAGAAAAGTAAAGTTTTGCACACATGTTTGCATGGGAACATGAAAATTAACATTTACGGTTAATTTGGCATTGCTTTCTTTAATTGGATGATATTATTAAAAGAGAGTGAACTGTTACTTTAAGACATTGATCTTTACTTTCTCTTCTCCTCACTCCATCTTCTCTTCTCTTTCCTCTCTTTTTCTCTCGTTCTATCTATTCCTCATCCATCTATCTATTGCCTTGTAGCCTTTGCGATAGAAATAGGGACTTATTAGTACTATGTTAATATAATATACATGTACATGTATATTGTCTATTGTCGTTCATGCATATCAAACTGTAATATAACTTTTTGCTCAATTTAACCACACCTCACTTTGCTTGTTTAATAAATAATTGTTCATAACGGTCGAGGAACACGGATGGCGATCCTACTGGCTAGCGCAGAGTTGTCTTACACTTCTGTGCACCCTTGCATCCACAACTTGCAATTCTTTTTTCACCACTTATCACTCATCATTCACAATAAAAATATATATATATATATATATATATATAATATATATATATATAAAAAACGCGACTACATTCATTCAATATTTTATTGTTTTCTATGGACCATCTCTTATAACGGGTTGCTGCATAAGGCACCGTGTGCATTTTATTTTTATTATTGTTTATTTATTTATTTCAAATCTTTGAATTTTAATCCATTCAAGAACAAACAAATAACGGTTCCATGGAAAACCATCCATCAATTTCTTGAGAGCCAGGGTGCCCATCTAATGATTATACGTATATATATATTATATATATATATATATACATTTAGAAGAAAAAAAAAAGGCCAAAAGAGGAGACGATTGAGTTATTCATTTACGAGGAAGAACGGCGCAATTAGCTTTCTTCAGGGTCATGCTCTTTATATATATATAATTACTCAATAAGAGATACACAGATTCATTTATACATGCTCTGCGCCAGGAACACCAGGACTTAATGTGCCATGGCATCCTATCGTTGATCTGGAACCATGGACATATGGGCGTAAAATGTACATGTACATGGTCTATAGCTCTCTCTTCATTTGGTCACACACAAACAAAACATGTTCTGATTGAATTGATCGCCAGAGGAATCGGTTTGATACAAAAAAAAGTATATTCTGGGCCATGGTCCTCTTTCCATGCTGGCTCACAAGGGTTAATCGAAATGGGCTATTCCTTCTTTCTCTTACAAGTTTGCTACTTGCCTATTGCCTATTGTACGTACTTTGCTGTGGTTATAGATCTATAGATCCTAAATGATTATTTGCTTTGTAGTGTCTAAGACTCCCAGCATCCCCTATATGCAGCAACAAGCGGCCTCTGCATACACAGTTTATATCTAACCATGCTTAATCGCTGTCAAGGATATTTGTGGCCGTGCTAGTTATCCTATGACCAAGTTACTGACCAATCCATACTAGAATACTGTAGTTGAAAAATATAAACTTCTTCTCGTAGCAGTAACTTTTTTTTTATTCAAAAGAGCAAGACGTCTGGAGCACCCTCTTCAAAGGATTATAAGTTTCAATGTATATCTACAGCAATAGTAAGAGTAACAGCAGCAGCAACAAATGGTAGGATATATATATAATATATATATATATATATATATTTTATTCTCGCTATGCCAGCTTTCCAGTATTCGGGAAAGCGGTTCACTTCCTCTGCACTCTTCAATAACGCCTGCATTGGTTCTCTCTGCTGGGAGTGCATGGCTGATTTATCGATGATAAGTTTCTTTTAGTTCTTGAGTCGTAATTCGCTTTGCCTACATTTCCTCCACCTCTGGAACGTGCATATCCCATATCAAGATATGAAATTTGCAACGTAGACGGTAGAGTAATTGCTGACTCACCCTTTCCCAATACCCCAAGGAATATCACATCATTATCGTGGACAATGTGTCGTATCTTCATGGTTGAAAACAAAATTAAACAGTGCTTTCTCTTGTTTCTTTTTGAGTTCGACATCTTTTTTTTTTTTTTTTTTTTTTTCTTCTTTTCCTCATCGCTGTGGAGCTAAAGTTATGCGTTGAAACTGCAGCTTCACCTCTTATATAAATGTTGATGTTGTGAGCCATGTCCACATTCATTTGTGTACGGTCGATAAAAAAAAAAAAAAAAAAAAAGCACACGCTCGCGCAATAAACAAAAAAATTGGTTTACATGTATATGTTAGTGAAACATGATAGCAATTCATAGATTCACTCTCTATCTCTCTTTTTCTTCTTTCCTCATTGTAAAACACCGACGAATGATCATGAAAATCAGTTTATCCAGGCGTGGAGGAGGCGCGTTTCGTAAAAAACTGAGTGTGAAGCCTTTTTCTAGGTTTTTCTATGCAATTGAAATTTTCGTGACCGTCTCCTTAAATAAAACATAAACACACACACACCAAAAAAAAAAAAAAAAAAAAAAAAAAAAGGCTCATGGTTCATTGGTTCATGGACATTCCTATACTCTTGTCTTCTTAATTAGCATTACGGAACAGCAACAACAAACTCGACACCATGAGAATCAAACGGCATAAGGATTACAAGCGGTACATGAACATGTACTGCCAGACATTTAAATTCCACAAACCATATCAGGTTCTTGGTAAGCTCTTTTTTTTTTTTTTTTTTTTTTTTAGCAAGGATTTATAGAAAATGGAGCTGACCTAGACTGAACTGGACTGAGCAGGACTGGAAGGAGCTGAGGAACCGAAGAAATACGCCTTTTCAGACTACAAAAGAAAAAAGAAAAAGAAAAAGAAGCTTACTCTAACGATTGGAATACAATTTCTGCTTTTAAAATGAAATTCGGATAGTGGATGCGGATTTTATTCAAGCAGCATTGGATCAAAGAATGGATCTCAGGGTGATGATCCCCAATGTTCTCTGTGACGCTTCAAAACAAAGTAAGTGCTATAAAAACCCTCTGGCTTTTTTTTTTTTTTTTTTTTTTTGTCCCGGTCGGATCAAAACTTTCTTTCCCTTCTAATCTTGTACTTTTTTCCTTTTTCTTTTCTTTCTCTTTTCTTTTTCTTTTCTCTTTCTTCTTCTTCTTCTTCTTCTTTGGGAATGGAATGGGCGTGGTTAACAAGTGGTGACACCATGTACCATGGCACAACTCAAATCTCGTGGTGAAGAGGCATCTGGTGCCTTCATTGCCTCCAAACGATTTGAGAAACGTCGTTGCAAGCATCAAGATCCTGTCGAGGAATCCATTTGTATCTCTCAAATCATCGCCGATACCAACCCCCATAATTACGTCGTTGCCTCTCAATCCAAACGACTTCGAGTTCAATTAGCTCAAGTTCCAGGGGTACCTTTGCTTTATATCCATCGATCCAACCTCATCTTAGAACCCCCCTCAGAGGCAAGTTTGAAAACCTGTAAAAAAATCGAAACCGACAAGACCCATGCTAAATCAAAGGAATTACAAACTTTAAAGGGCCTCAAGGTCTCTGCATTGGGTAAAGTCTCACTTGATCCTAAACTGATCAAGAAGATTGAGGAACGAAAGCAATCAAAGAAAGAGAAACTAGAACTGAAAAAAGCTAAACTTTTGAAAAAGAAAATGGGTCCCAAGGAACCAAATCCATTGTCGATTAAGAAGAAAAAGAAAAAACCAGAGCCCACTACTACCATTACTTCGACTACAACTTCTATCAAAAAGCGAGGAGCAGAGTCTGAAGCGGATGCAGGAGTAGAGAAGAAAAAGACAAGAAGGAGGAGAAAGTCAAAGTCTACTGCTACTGCTGATGCTTCTGCCACAACCAATACTACAACGCCGGCGGGATCCGAGTCGTCATAGTTTAGAAGTTGCGGATTTTTTATATATATCTATAAACAAAGCAAACAAAAAAAATCAAATTGATTATTTAGTGGATCATTTATTCTGAAGGAAAAAAAAAATGTTATTTTTCTCTTAAATCATGTCTCTAATGAAATACGATAATGCAAAAAAGCGCAATGCTACAAACAGATATAAAAAAAAAAAAAAAAAAAAAATGAAAAGAAAAAAGAAAAAGAACACTCTCTATGATCGGGTATGTAATGTACAACGAGGAATTTGATTATATAAGCAGGAAATATATAAAAGAAAAAGAAAAGAAAAGAAAAAAAAAAGAAAAAAAAAAAAAAGTAAGAGGCAATAGTTAGCTGGTTAACGGTCCCGACGGGCGTTGGGAAGCGTAAAGATGAATTTTATCCGCTGCTGGGTTTGGCTTGCTTGCTTAATCATGTGTTATACGGTGTGTGTGCCAATGTAATGCCAGAACCCTCTGCTACCTCGCGCATAGTCGTACACGTTAACAATATTACGGGTCATCGACTGAAGACCCCAAAGACCAACCCTCTTCAACTTGCGATTTCGTTCTCGCTCATTCGCTACAAGGCTAACCCATGCTTTACCAAGTTCTGTCGACAGATTTGTCATCAAATTAGAGTCATAGATTGTCCATGAGCCATCGAATTCAGACTAATAATGAAGAATAAAAAAATAATTAGTATTAGTTTCTGGTATGATATTTCTGTTGCCAAAATTTTTTCTCAAAAAAAAAAAAAAGAAAAGAAAAGAAAAGAAAAAAAACACACCAAGTCCATTTCGACACGGCATCGGATAGGTGTAACTGTGCGGTTACTGTTCATGAACGCAACAATAGGACGGATAGCGGCGTTGGACAAATAGGACAAACTCTCTGTTTTCAAAGGGATAGACGCCTTGGTATCATTGAAACGAAATTCAAAATCCATCACCAGTGCAGGCTTTTTCTTGGATGATCTTACAAAACTGGCTCTTGAAGTTGGTGTGTTGAATTTGGACATTTGTTGCTGATGCTGTTGCTCTTGCTGCTGTTGGAATTGCCGAAGCTGCTGCTCAATTTGCTGTTGCTGTTGCCAATATTGATACCGGTTTTCTTGATGTAGCCTCATATGCTCTTGTTTATGCTCAGAATTCTGTCCGTGCTGTCGTTGTTGTTGCTGCTGCTGCTGCTGTTGCCGTTGGAGGATTTGTTGTTGCTGCTGAGCTAGTCGCCGCTGCTCTTCTTCTTCCTCCATCATCTTTTCATGCAAGGCAGCAGCAGCACGGTTTGGATACATCACAATTTCTTTTCCGCCGACGGCGCCCGTCCCAAAGACAACTGGAAGTGGTGCAAAATCAACCACTTCATCAATCTTATCGACAATATCATTCACTAGCTTGCGCAGTGCATCCTCTCTCGGTTCATTTGGAATCTTTACATCACAGGTGATGTCTACAGTGCCAGAATAAATCCATCCAAAGGGCCCTTCCACCCCAGCGTTCAAATGATCGATTTTGACATCATCAATTTTAAATCGAGTTGACCTTTTCCATTTAGCATCAGTCTGGTTGTCAGTGCTCTCACGCTGTGCAGTGTAGCAGCTAAAGAGGCAGCCATCAAACATGCCAACCATGGACTCTGCACATAACAAGTCGTAAAATAGCCATTGCTTCCGAAACTTTGGAAACTGAGCAGAGTATATCGACACAGTATAGGGACGGAAGTTATCTGGCTGAAGAACCGTCACAAGCATATCCTCAAGCTGAAGTGATTCGAGTTCAAAGTCTCCAGGGACATGTTTTCTCCTAGATAGCTCTGGGATGTATTCGACATCAGGATCCCACCAAACATGAGTGCGATCTATTGACAATTAAAAATGGTAGTCATAAATGGATATGAGGTACATGAACCCAGTTAGTACAATAAGGATTAAAAAATATAAAAAGGCATTGATTTGAACCCCGCCAGTTCCCTTGCCCCAAAAGCCTTTAATGTATTACCAATGACTCCACGAACACCCTTGATGGAGGCATCTTCGATCAGCCCTTTGCCGTCAAGCCATCGTTTAGCAGAGAGTGTGACATCAATTTGATCGATGGTCACATCAAACATGGTAAAGTTCGTATCGACGTCCTCTTCAGTTATTTGAGCATGCTCGTCCGTCCCATCATGATCGTGCTCATGTCCATGGCCTGAATGATCTTCTCCTTTGTGACTTAATAGATTATCCTTATTGGGTTGTTCTGCTCGTTTTGACATGACTACGTTCCGGAGAGTGATACGCCCATCCTTCCAATTGGGGACAATAGCAGCTTCAAACTTGACTTTGACTCCCGTTGATGCTGTAAGATAATCGCTAATCTTGGATGCCACAAATCCTGCAGAGAGAGGAAATTCAAAGATATGTATTAGATTAATGATAAAAGTAAAAATAACACACAGACCACATCTTGTGACGTGCATTTTTAAATAAAATTCAATTGGTTTGCCCACGAATTGGTCGAGTGATAGATTCCGAAAATGATGACAGCATGATGAAAACAAACACGAATATCAACAAATCTCTCATTTTTCTTTTACCTTGGAATTGTAAGCTATTCGCTGCAGCAAGCAACAAGCTAAAGAAAGTAGTCGTGCCCAACAGCACAAATGCCACATTCGCCAGGAAGGCCCATGAAAACACTGCAATGAAGTCGTCCACACGCCATGGTCGGATTTGACGCATCAGCAGTAGCTTTAAACGAATCTTGAGACGTTCTAGAAAATTAGGGGCTGCAGAAAGCAGCTTGGCTCGTCCAACACGATCCAAAGGCCCAACCACAGGGGGTGTGTATTTGACCAATGCATTCTGTCGGGAAGCAGAGTCTGAATTTCCCCTCAGTGTATCTGACATATAGTAGCGCCTGATCCCTTGATTTTTGCTTTTAACAGCATGATGAGTACGAGAGATTGAGGAGGGTGCAAAACTGGTACGTGTCATTGCAATTGGGTGGGCTGACCTAACACATATTGATGCTGGTGCTGATGCTGATCCTGTTCCTATCATTGTGTCTGAAGCATGTCCAAAAGAGGATTGTAGCCCTTTTAAGTTTTGGTGTTGTCGAGAGCGTGAATGTAAATTGGAGAAGCTATGAATTTCCATATCCAACAAAGTCGTAGTCTCTTTTGTTCTCTTCCAGGGCTGAGGCTTTGATACGATCTGTGCTGTACCTCTGACCATTCGTTGGCTCAGACGACCTATCAACTCACATGCGCCTTTTGACTCTATTGTTGCACTGCCCGTTGCACCTACAAACGCAGTCGAACTGAGGCCAGCAGAAGCAGTAGCAGTCCCGCATCGATTCATAATCATATGTTGCGTGGTTTGATTAACAGCAACAGCAGCCTCACTTCCATAGAGACCACCGTTATTATACATCCATAAGCCCGGGGCCAATCTGCAAAGAAGCTGACGTTTGGAAGGTCGACCAAATGCGGTGATAGAAGAGAATAAGCGAGTATATGGACTGCTTAAAAAGAAAAAGAAAAGAAAAGAAAAGAAAAGAAAAGAGAAGGAGCAACAGACTTCCAGATTAGCATTACAGTGACCCTAGGAGAAAGAGCGAAACATGACCTAAACCCTAAAGAGTAATTGTTTTACCTATGAGTTAATGGTTTCTTGCTCAGAAGAATGGATCTGGTCCTCTGAGCAGAAAAGGCATGGTGGCAGACGAGGCTCCTTCCACTGGTGATCCGTGGGTTCATCAGACCCCGTTGTGCCAGACAGCTTGCCTGCATGGTTATGTTGGGAGGTAACAAGAAGAAAGGCTGTCAAAAGTGATCCTCCGATTGATTTGATCGAAAAAAGAAGGTGAATGCGAACTTTAAAAGATTGACAGAGAGCCATTTCTTATTAAGTTTCCTTTTCGAGGTGGAGAGGGACTGTTCGAGGGATTGCACCAGTCACGTGTACCCTCCTATGAATGATTAGCGGCACCCATTGCCATTAAAGTTGGCCACCAACGCCTCTTGATTTCAACGGTCTCAATCATTCACTCATATCGGTGAATATGATTAATACCTTCATGAGATATAACAAGTCACTTTTATTTAATCACCTTGTAACTTTTATTATACTCTGCTCCACTTTGTATTTGACCCATGATCTTTTTCTAATGATCTTGTATCTATTGCCCTGCAATCTCTTTATTTGAGGACAAGTGTGCAAGCACTTCAATTCAGTATACAAACTGTAGCTCAAACTTGGTTTGCAAGTGCCTTTGCTTTAGCAATTCCATGTTCTTAATAGCCCGCTTCGCAGTAACCCATCAGTCATTCGAAAACATTCTAACATACCTTACTTTTAATTTTATTATTATCGACAACACAGTTTATTCATTTGCTCTCTGTTGCATCTACGGCCACTCGGGCCTTCTTTCGACGCCAGCCCGGATCTTTGCCATCTTTAGGTGATCGGAGTTCTGCGCCATCTAGCAAAAGATCTATCTCTTTCTCGAGGATTCGCGGCCACTCGATCTTATTGTTGGAGCCTGACTCGAACTCTGCTAGTTTCAAAATCACATCGGCTCTTCGTCCCGTCCCAAAGTGAGTTCTTTCAACTCCTGAGCGAGCCGAGATAGTTTTTCCTCTCCCTTCATGGTTTTTTCTCTGCCTAATCCCAATCCTGATAATCTGCTGATAAGGGATTGGGCCTTTTCAAATGCCGAACCTAGTCCGACTTAAGGAAAAGATGAGGGCCCCACTCAGTAGGAGAGACGTGTATGATCGACGAGACAGTAGCATTATTGTCTGCAGTTGCAGAGGAAGAAGCTGCGCTTTATGTGTGCTTGTGGGCATATTGTGCTGTATGTCTGTATGTGAAAAATGTAGAAATGTATAGCAGGTCTTTCTGTTCCTGACGTGGCTTTTGACAAAATCCCAGCCACAACATGGGTTCCCCCATGTTGCGCCATGGCATGAGTAGTAATTCTCCACCTCATGAAAAAAAGAAAACAGGTCATTAGAAACAGTCGGGACTAAACAGGAAAGGAATAAACATTGACGACCATGACAGAAGCTGTATCTGAACTAGACTCTTACATTGGTATTTTTTTTTTTTTAAAATGACTTTATTGTTTTCCTTGGGAAACTTCTCACTTCATCTGAGTTTGAGGCGGAGGAAGTAAAAGGAGGAGGAGAGGGGTGACCATAGTATTATTGCTGACAAAACCTCTCGCTTTATATTTCAAATGAATAGATTATGACTCTTTCTTAGTAGACCAGTTTGATCCCAACACTCATGCCAACTCTATCATTCATCAATCTGCAAAAGGAGAGCTCGATATCGCCACATCACTCTCAAGTCTTTCATTCAGTATTGATAGTCTCAACAAGCAATTACATGATCAAGTAAGTCTGAAAAGGACAAGCAAAAAACGAAACAAACAAAAAAAAAAACGCAGCCATCCAGCATTTATCGGTTTTCATCAGTTTCTGGATCTAAGCCTTTGGTTTTTTTTTTTTTTTTTTTTTTTTTTTTGGATGGAAACCGTTGATATTATTAGGTAACTACACATTATAATGACTTATTGAGTCAAGCAGCAGGGATTCGGGAATTGGAGGCAGTCCTCAAGACTGTGAAAACAGGACTTAAGGCAGTCAGTGCTTCCATGGAGCGACTTTCCACTAAAATCAAGATACCCTTCGAACAGATCCAAACCTATACGATTCAACTTGAACGTTTACAGGTCACCTCAGAGATGTTGAGGAGAGTCTTGCGGTTTTTGTATTTAATCAGGCGTTTAGAGTTGCAAATGCCCGGAGGAGATTTGGGAGATCTGGAACTGACAAAAGCAGCAATGACATTAAGCGAAGTTGGTATGGTCCCTGCAGCTTTTTTTTTTTTTTAAAAAAAAAAAAAAAAAAAAAAAAAAAAAAAAAGGTTCTAAAGGACTTGAGTTTCTTTTCGTTTATTTTTCTTTTCAAAGATACACTTCTTCAGGAATCTGATCTGGAAGGTATTCATGTAGTGGACGCTGAAGTCAAAAAGTTGGAACTTGTTCGCACAAGGATTATTGAATCAGCTGATAGGATGCTTCAGAATGGAATGGATTCACAGAACCAAGCTCAAGTGGGGTCAGCACTACAAGTCTTTTATTCACTCAAAAGATTGGATCTAAAGATTGTGGCCATGGCTTCGCTCTTGTCCAATCGTATGCATTCACAGATCAAACAGACAGTCGACATCCAATCCATACAGAAGGAGGCCAAAGGTAATACATATATACCATACAATGGTATCATCGCTACTATCTATCCAGACACACGCATCGTCGCTCTTTTTCTCGTTCTTGTTCTTGTTCTGTATTAGCCTTATGCTGAGTAAATCAAACAAGTTTACTCATAAACTCAATATCACTTTTTTATTTTATTTTATTTTATTTTATTTTATTTTTTTTCTTGGAAATATGTATTTGTATATATTATGATCGCCCGTGTAGAGTCAGGAATTAGTATATCTTCGGGATTTGTAGGAGGCGGTGTGCGACGTAACAACGGAGAGCCGAGCGTAGGAGCAGCTCCACTTTGGACATCGATTTTATGGAAGCGGATGGAAAAACTTATGGATGAGATGTATGAAGGATGCATCAAGGTAATATGAATTAGTTTGGAAGGCTTTATATATATATATATATATACTGTTAGGAAGGGTTTCTAACCATTGCAGATATTTTTTTTTTTTGTTTTTTTATCTTTTTAGATTTACTTGTTGGAACGGGTTCTCTCATGGAAGAGGGACCCTTTGACTCAAAACTCGTTCCTGGATATTGTATCCAATAGTATGGATGGTAATATGGTCCATCGGTTTTGGCAATCTTTGTCAATGCATCTGGAGCAAGAACTTAAAGCTGCAGCAAGATGTAAAGTGGGCATTATGAAGTGGCCTCTAATTTTTTTCTTTGTGGAAAAATCGACTTTATTACCCCTGTCTGACTGACCCTCTTTTTTTTTTTTTTTTTTTTTTTACTTGGTTTTCTCTTTTACAGCTTCTCAGTTCTTACAGCAGGCGTTCATTGATGGATTTCCTCGGTTGCTTAATCTACTGCATGAATTCTTTTCTCGAGTATCAGTTCACAGTGCTAATGCAACATCTGAAGATGTACAAAGGTAAAAAAAAATAAAAAAAAAAAAAAACTTTATCCGAGACAGGTAGGAAGGGCATTTTCGTTACTGTGTTGCACTTTTCCTGATGCTCATCCTGCTTTTCTTTTTTCTTCTTTCAGCCCTGAAGTGGTCCTCATGTTACGAGCAATATCATCTTTTGAGATGGCATACAAGACAAAGACAGCACAAAGAGGCAGCCAACGTTAGTGCTTGTTTAAAAATAATCTACATAATAATAAATGGCAGACCAAAAGAAAAAGAAAAAGAAAAAGAAAAAGATCCATCTAATATAATTACTCTTAATGCTCCATAAGTTTATATTGCAATGAGTCATATTTATTTTTTACACAAGAAAAAAAAAAAAGGAAGGGTAAAAGAAAGCCAGGCTTGATACATGTTATATGGATGATATGGAAAAAGGTATTGATGCAAGTTGGTATGATTTAGAAAAAGAAGAGAGGAGAGGGTGGTTTTTTTTTTTTCCCTTTTTTTTCTCCGCTTTAGTCGACCTTCTTCAGAGTAGTACGCTTGGAATAGGTACGCTTGGCAAAGTCGACAAAGAGATAAGTAAGAGGGAAAAGATAACCAACGTTGATCCAGACAGCCATTTGAGCGCCAGGGGTGGTGACACATCTAGGGACGAGGAGGTAAGACATGGCGAGGGGAGTTCCGATCAAGAATTGAGTGATCTGCATTGAGGTGAGGTACTTCTTGCCTGGAGGGTGAATACCGATGGAAGTGCAGGCATAGTAGCAGTACATAACAGTGTGGATGAAGGAGTTGAAGACTACAAAGATCCAGATGGGTGTTGCCTGGTAGTTAATGCCTGACCACATGGTGATCATGGCGCCAGCATGGTGGTAGGTCTGGAGGAGTGATGAGCGGCGTCCCTTGAGGATGATGATGATAGTATCAATGACTTCGTAGAACTTTGAGAGATAGAAGAGGTAGCCCCAGTAACCGAGAGCATTGTTCCAGAGGCTTTTGTCGGTGTCGCAGTACTATTAAAATGCAAAAATAAATAAATAAATACATTTTGAAATGGTTACTACAACTCAGCCCAGTTTTTTTTTTTTATTTTTATTTTTTTTTTTAATCCATGTAACCACGAAATAGTTGTCCAATGAGGAGGGAAGAAAGAATCAACGCACGATAAGCAAAATAAAAGCTGTGCCCACCATTCCATTCCCCCTCCCCATCAAAAAAAAAAAAAAAAAAAAAAAAAAAATCTTGTAAACATTCCCTTGAATGAATTTGTTGCTTTGCATTCATTAAGGACGCGACAAGCAGAGAAGATCTATTATCCAAATATCTTTCTGAAACAACGGAAAGCACCCATGATCGGAACTGCTTTGCTGTTTAAAATCGTTTTATGCCACCCTTTCCTTCACATGAATACAACGTCCCATGTAATCATTCCAAATCTTACATAACCTTATTTGATCAAACCGATCATTTTCACACTTCAAAGCAAAAAAAAAAAAAAAAAAAAAAAAAATTACAACTTACAGCATCATGAAGACTATGTGTTCTAAAGTTGTTGATCATCGCAGGAAACATGTTGTAGAAGGTGATGGCAGAGTAGATACATAAGAGCAGATTGTGAACAAAGACAAAGGCGGTCATGGCAGCGCTGGACTCTGTCTTGTCGGTAGGCTTAGCATTGGTGGATTTAGCAACCACGCGAGAGACCTTGCCGACTTTGGGGTTGAACAAGCTGACGCAGATTGCGTAGGTAGCAGCAATGGCTAATGGCGTCTTCCAGTCCATGAAGAAGTCATAGTATTCAGGGAAAGGGATCCCAGCTGGCATTGGTGCTGACTTCATTGTGTTGATATGTAACGCAGTATATGCGAAATGCAATGCTATTAGAAAAAGAAATAAGAGAAATGAAAGGAAAGAGAATGTGTGTAGAATGCAAAAAAAAAAAAAAAAAAAAAAGAAGTAAAAAGAAAGAGAGAAGGAGGGAGATAAATACTAAAAAAAAGAATGCAGAGGTTCTATTTTAGTGGGGACAGGGCAAGAAAAGCAAAGAAAATAATATCAGACATGGCTTCTTTCATTTTTTGGGTCACTAGAAAAAATAAAAATAAAATAATAATTAATAAGGCCCGATACACTGGAGTCAGCATTGGCTTGTTGGGACAGTCTAAGCTGGCCCGAGTGTTTACGTCCATGTTAAAAGTATAATAAGTATAAACATGTATGAATTATAAAATACTGAGCCCCCCCTTTTTCATGCTTGTTTGCCATTGTCGTTGTTATTTGGGCGAAATGGGTGGGCCTTGTCAGTTGATACATACTCCATTACTTGCACCGTAAATGACCTTGCTGAAGCATCTTTGCTTCCAACAGATGTTTCTTTCTCTTTTCTTTTTGATCTTTACTATCATTATCCTCTCCTCTCTTTCACTTCATCTACCTTTTCATCATCACCCTTTTTTTTTTTTTTTTTTTTTTTTTTTTTTTTTGGCATGTCGAGCCTATTGTTATTATTACTACTCAAAGCCATCTCTGTAACACCCCTAGGTTGTGGTCAAACTAAGGATCGCCTTGACTACAATGCTGGATCAGACTACCATCATGCATAGCTCACTGTATCTCATGTCATGAATGACGATGGCTGTTTAACATTTGACACATGCAACAGAAGCCCCCAGAAAAACATTGTTAACATATAATTATCTGTAAAGACCGAGCTAACGAACGTCGGGGAGACCATGGATTTGCTGTTCCATAAAGGTTTTTCTCCTGAGCAATTGAGAAAAAAAAATGTGGGGAGTATCTATTCCCTAAATTGTTCAAGACAGGGCAAATGGTCATGTATATATAAACAGATACCTTACTAAAGAAAGAAGGAGATCGGTGCGGACCTAGAACAAGCTGTTTAAGAGTAATTCGGCTTTGTCATCGACTCTTCACATCATAGCTGTGTCTATTAAAAAAAAAAATTTATATTCCCCGATTTTAAAGATTTTAATTTGTTGGGGAGAGGAAATAAAAAAGATGGTCTATATTCACGTACAGATTTGTGTACGTGTTTTGTAGGAGATACGACGCGTTCCTTTTTACTTGTTGCACAAAAATAAAGAGTCGCAATCTGATTGGACAACAATGGAGCTTCCCAACTTTTTTTTTATAGCCATTGAGGGAATAATTGTCAGTATTCTTTGATTCACTGCAGTGAGGGTGGTTAGATGATAAAGTCAATGGCATTGTAGTTTGAGATTCCAAGGACAGAAAATTTCTTTGTTTTAATTTATATAATATACAACTATCTTTTTTTTTTTTTTTTTTTTGTTTAAATACTACGCTTCTTCAGGTTACTGCAATGGTGTAAAGTCACAGGGAAAGAGTCGTCAAGAAAGAGATAGAATATTAACTTTTCTTTTTTCTTTTTCTTTTGCGACTTCTTAAAGATTCTCTTCGACAAAGGCGCTGATCTGGGTTAATAATTCCGTTTTGATTTTGTCAGGAATAGTAGCTGTTAATTTTTTTTTTTAAAAAAAAAGGGGGAAAAAACAAGAGTGAGCGTAACATTCTGTGATTAATTGATAACGAATGTTACTGTCTGTAGATGCTGTTTTTGCTATAGGTAATCTGTTTTTTTTTTTTCCTTTTTTATCTTTTGTTCATTTTACCTCGGGCGTATGGGCTCACCTCCTTGATGATCTCATCCACAGTCATTGAGGAATCTTTGGATTGTATCTTTTCTATTAAGCCCAAGATATCAATAAAAGAAAATGTAAGCATACTTCTTCGAAGCCTTCCTTGCCCCTAATGCTCAGTTGATTATGTCTGTTTGACTGTCATATTGAATGAAGGTAAAAGAAAATTACCTCTCGTATAAGCCTTCAAGTCGTCACGCCAACCAGAATCAATCAATTTTGCACGCAAGAGTTCCACAAGTCTAAATAAAATGTTCACATTATTGTACATTGATAAAAAAAAAAAAAAAAAAAAAAAGATGTTGGTCATGTCAATGGGGAAATAGCATGTACATGTTTCCTTTTCATCTCTTTTCTTCTTCTTTGCTTCCACAAAATGACTCTTGTAAAATGCTTACTGATCTCGTTTTCCAGACTCGACAAGTTCTCTATGCAAATTAGATCGTAGATGGTCGCTTGTTACTGAACTCATTGTAGCTGTATAAGTTGTTAAACGTCTGCGCCTTGTTGTGAAGAATGAAAGTTAAAAAAAAAAGACTTCGGTCAAGCGTCGAGATGTTACATGGTGGCTTGAAATTAAAGTTTCAGCAATGGAGCTTAAAAAAAACTAATTGAATGCATGTTTCAATTGATGGTGTTTACATTAACTTATTCACAACGCCTTTCTCCTCTTATACACATACACCATCCGTATACATCATGTCTGCAGAGGGATCCCCCTCAGGGCCATTGCCAGCAGCTAATGGTGATGGGAAATCATCAACATCGGGTCCTGTCAAACTATCATTTGGCGTCATGGGCAAAGGAAAGAAGGCGCCTCTAGTTAATAAGAGAACAGTATCAGCGTTTGGTGCACATCAAGATGATAAAGCCGACAAACCAAAGGACGAACTTATCGTTGGGTTTGATGAAAACAAAATTAAGAGGTAATTGGCCAACTTACGCTTCTAAGCGACACATCCTGTATGATCTCTCTATATTATTTTTACGAGTGAATATATAGATCGGTGTTGAGCTGCATTTCAAAGCAACTAAATTAACGAACCATTCCACTGTTGACTGTATGACTGATTTGCTAGTCTTGTGCCAGAAGAAGAAGCGAAGCCATTGGTGATCCCTCTGGAAGATGCAGATTGGCGGCAAAAAGTATTGGAAAAGAGAAAAAAAATATATATGCCAGGCGAGGCCGGCAAACATAGTAATGAAATTGTTGAGGAACCAGTCAAGGAAATTAAATATGGACTACAGATCACAAAGCGAGCCAGAATAGAGCATAGTTCGAACGATACAAGTAGTTCCGGTTCTGGAGCTGGCGATGTTAATTCAAGTACAACTACAACTGCAACTACAACTACAACTACAACTACAACTACAACATCGACTACAACGCTGGAGATGACAAAAGATGTAGTCATGGAGCCAAGGGAAGAGACATTGGAAGAAGCTGCAACAAGGAAAATCTTGGAAGGTATCAATAGCAAGTCGATCTTTATCTTTTTTTTTTTTTTTTTTTTTTATCAAGACTTTTCAAAGATTGATCCGGTCATCTAAATCGTTATTTTTTGTTTTTCATTTCTTTTATGTTATCTCCTTCACTTCAACTAGCCGTATCCGACGAGAATTCAGAGGAGATTCGAAAGCTAACCATCGGTGGACAGGAAAACATCGACGACACAGAAGCTTTCCAAAAGAATCTAGAAGATCTCCCTGACGAGGCAACATTAGAAGACTATGAAAAAGTTCCTGTGGAGGAGTTTGGCGCAGCATTACTGCGTGGCATGGGGTGGAATGGTGACATGAAAGGATCTGAAGCGTAAGTATTGGATATTTATTTATTTATTTTTTAAAAAAAAAAACTGTATAGCTCAAATTATCCCTTGTTTTCCTTTTGTTTCCCTTCACTTTGAGGAAAGATGAATAACGAGTATAAAATGGACATTGATTGATTGATCTTTCATTTCATGTTTGTTTCACATAGGATTGAGTACAATCGACGACCAGCGCTACTTGGACTAGGAGCCAAGCCTAAAGAACCAGAGCCGATTACCAAAAAGTATATCAAGCCTGGCGAATCACGCATTCCACAGACTATCAAGGTGCCTGAGAGGCATACTACGGGACGATCTGGCAGCTATGGGTCACAAAATGCTCAGAGGGATCCTAAGGGCAACAGAGACGCAAGAGATTCTCTTGATACAAGAACAAGTAGGCGTGAAGATAAAGAGAGTGTAGACAATAGGTATAGACGTGATGGCGAAGAGAGTAGAGACAGCATAGAAAGAGACAGCAGAGATAGAGACAGGGACCGTGACAGAGATCGTGACAGAGACCGTGACAGAGATCGTGACAGAGACCGTGACAGAGATCGTAACAGAGACAGCGGCAGAGATCGTACTAGAGACCGTGACAGAGAAAGAGATCGAGACCGTGATCGTGAGAGAGATTCAAGACGTGATCCTAGAGACAGTGGGGGCAGTTGTGATAACCGCAATGATCGAGATGACGCTCGTAAACGGGATCAGGATCGGGTACGAGAAAGAGAAAGAGAAGGAGAAAGAGAAAGAGCAAAGGAGAAGTATAAAAGGAGAATTTGAGGCGGCTGGCACTACCGCTAAACTGCTTTATTTAAGAAAAGATTCAAAAAATAATAACATACATATAATAAAAATTTCAGACAGCGCATCCTTTTAATACATAATTGTTCAATTCGTTCATGGTGTGTAACAACAGCTGTGTAACGTGGCTACTTTTTTTTTAAAAAAAACGCAGTTATAAATGAACGAACGAGAGGAGTTTTATTGGCTGAGCGTCAAAGGTGCCCCTTATTTCTTTGACATTAATACATTGCTGTTTTTTAAAAAAAAAGAGAGAAGGGTATCTCTTTTCGTAGACTTTAGATACAAAAAAAAAAAAAAAAAAAAATGCTTACAATACTGCCGTATTGGACAGTGATTATAAAGGTGAGATATCGGTTCTCGTCGCTATCACTCAATAAATGTCACCATCACTGCATCATCTGTTCCTACAGCCAGATTTGTAGTGATCTTCATCCATATAGCTCCGTGAGCAAGCAAAGTTTCCGTCCAAGCCTGGAAGCCGATCCATGGCCGAACTTGCCCTTGATAGAGCCTACATGAGGTGTGTAGTGTGATTAATGCCTATACCCAGGTTCTTGTGTGAGAAGCACTCTTCTTTATGAGCGATTGTGATGCTGAGGCCAGGTAATAGTCCAGTTTGTTGCCTAAGAATTGGAGTGCAGTGATAGAGAGAAGCAACGTAACCGCAGCTGGAAGTTCATGAAAAAAAAAAAAAAAAAAAAAAAAAAAGAGAGAGAGAGGGATATTCATATACGGTCGAAACATATTTTTATGGCACTTTAAATTGACCTCCTTAAAAGTTCTATTCTAAAACGATGAAATATAGCCACATACAAATATACATATATTCTCACATGATATCCTTATATGGTATGCATCATTTGTATATTTACACAAAAAAAGTCGTTGACTTTTTCAATACACTCGACACAACCGATACAAACAGCAAGGAGAGGCATATTTTGAACATCTAATCGCTGAGGTTCCTACAATGAACAACTGGAACTTCAGAGTAGTATAAAATGAGGACAAACAGGGGTTGGATGAAGAAGAGCCACAACAAATGAATATGGGGGAAGAGAGAAGGCTACAGGCCCTAACGAAATTGAAGGTTCACCAGTTGCTGACGAGGATCTAGCTGTGGCAATTCAAGCACTGAAATGCAAGAGGCCAGAATGCATTCGGTGTCGAGGACCTCAAGCAAGTCTGGGAAAGCACTGATGACGGTTCTGAGATCAAACGGAAGATCCCGAGAACCGTGAAGGGCCCGGTAAGCGTCTGTACCGGCTATAAGAATGAGATGGGCACTTGTATTTCATCATTTTAGAATAAAACTTTTAGGAAAGTCAATTTAAAAATTTTATGATACTTTTCATTGATGTGTACAGAAGTAAAGAATAGTTTTTGAGACAATCATGCAAGGATAAAAATGAAAAAATCAGAGCTTCATGCACAGACCAACGAGTCAGGGTGCAAACAAAACAATTGGCAGGAAAGTAATTTGTAATCCTTCTTCCGCAAAGGAATGGACTGTTTAAAGATGATAATGTTCCTGTAATTGCCAACATCTCGGTTTCCTTTGTAGCAAGGAATCCCCTACTTAGATTGGCTTTGGAAATACTTCCTACTTATCTTAGAAAAAAAGGGACTCTCTCAATCTACATGCAACAATAACCCAATTTCATTAACCATCTATTTGGTGCTTGTAAAATTCTTGTTTTTGATGATGAATGTATGCTGCTTGTCAAGAAAGAGAAGTTTCTAGGCACTAAAGGCTTCTGTGAATTCAGCTCTTACATGTAATTTTTGTACCACCTCATTTACTCACCAGGAACGAGAGTAGTAGGTCATGTCCAGCAAATGTGGAGTAAAAGAATGTCTTTATTTTTTTTAGTAATTTTTATTACTGAGCCAAGGGATCAAAGAAAAAAAAAATTACGGCAACCCAGATACGAGACCAGCCTTGTCAGATTTCGGACCTGTATCGCCAGATTATGTTGGGTATAGAGTTAGCGTTCCTCATTCATAGGGAGAGCCCTGCAAGTATTGTCTCGATGTCTCTTCAATGAGTCCTTCCTTGTAAAACTCTTCATACAATACTCACAGACATTCATTTCGGTTCCAGGGGAATGTTTTTTCTTATGTCGTTCAAGGTCAGCGTTCCTCAGGAACCTTCTATTGCAGCCTTCTACCTCACAGAAGTATTTCTTTTCGTCTGGAGAATGAGTTCTGATATGTGCACTGAGATTGGAAGCATTGGTTGCTGTCATAGTACAAATATGGCAGACATATTTGGATGATTTGGTCAAAGAGGTTGTTGCGGTCTGTGGGGAAGAGGACAATAAGAGAGGGGGAGAGGAAGGCGGAGAGGGATAGGAGAAGGAGTGGGAGGGTTTACAAACTAGCTGAGTATCGACAATCACGGACGTCTCTAGGTCGTACGGGTCACACAATGGTTGATTAGGGGTGGAGACTACTAAGGCCGAGGATCGTTCTTGGTCACAACAGAGTACAAAAGGGATTGAACTATTTGGTGTACAGCCATCACATTCCTTATAGAAAAACTGTTAATGGTGTGTATAGTTTCCTGGTTACACTATATGTCTGAGGCTTGAGCCTTTTGTTCCTACTTACTACAGGAGTATTGGAACGGATGACGCTAATTGGGTATAGATGTTCCTGCTGGTTCTCCTGGGCTAATAGAACTGACCAGTTTAGATCGACTATCGGACGATTATCGATCCATGAGTCTGATGTATGTTGGTCGGATTGCAAGTCTTGGCCCATCAGTAGATTAGCTTCAGAACAGCAATCTATATCGGAGTTTTCATACTCAACTCCAGACCAGATCTCTGTAGCAGTGCCTTCAGACTCATTTGGGGGACTTGGCGATATCATATTTTGTTGTTCAAGGAAGGGTGGGTATTTGTTTCGAATAATGTTCAAAAAGAGGATAAAAAACTGTGGAAGCAGAGTAGAGTAGAGACAACAGTAGAAGTGAGTAAAAGTGAGGAATTGTTGAGCTAAAAGATCATCAGAAGCAATTCATTTTGTAGTCCTGCAGGACAAGGTTCTCGAACTGTAACTGTAACCATCGTCATACAACGTTTGGCTCAATCAGCACATAGCACATTGCAAATGCTCGTCGTTTATTCCCTCATGCCACTGCAGATCTAAAGGCCAGTTTATGCATGCTGGGTTTTAACTTTTGTGGCACATCCACATCTAACCCTCACATGCATAGCTTTTAGAAATATGAAATTTATTGCTTCTTCTTTCAAGTCTTCTCATTTTCAACATCATCAATACTATCTATCTACTCCATAATTTTTTGCCCTCTTTTTGAACTCTTGACCCTTCAAAACAATGCTTTCCCTTTCCCAAAATCCAGAGCACTCCTTTCAACCCCTTCTCGTTTTCAGCGTAACCAATACTACATACTTCTATAGTTCTTTGCCCTTCATTGAGCCATTGAACCTTTAAAATAATGGAGATACTTCACCAAAGTATAAAACCATGTCTCTGGTCAATACCACCGAGTCCGCCAGAAGAGCCAGAAGAGCCAGAAGAGCCAGAAGACTTCGATGTAGACTTCTTATCTGGTATAGAGCCTCGGTCTAGCCAAAGTTTGGAGTTTCACCAAGATACACCAGACGCATTGATCGATACTCGTCCGGTCGCTGTCAATGCAAGCTGTCCAATTCCATTAAGCCAGGAGCATCAGCAGCAATATCTACACCAATATACTGCTATCCCTTTCAATACCCCAGTAATAATTGAAAAATAAAAAGGCCAATAATCTGTTTCTTAATGAATTTCAGACATATAGTCTAGTCAGGAGAATTGACGCTCTGAATATTCTATTTTCTCTATTAGGAAAAGTATGACCTCCCGCTAAATAGTGTAGTCCATTTTGTATCCAGTTGTGATCAAGGAAGAAACGTTCTCTCGATTCAGGAAGCATCCTTGGAATTTGTGCCCTCCTCCTCCGATCGTTTATTGTCTAAGCCATACGACCTAGCTTGCACACCTTTCTACTTCTGTTATCCTTCTTCTCCCCCTTCCCCTTCCTCTTCCCCTTCCCATTGCCCTCATCTAATTTCCCTACGTCCTCTTCGTCTTCTCCTTTCTCATCTCTCTCCCTACTCTCTTGCCCACAGACCGCAACAACTTTGGCCAAATCATCCAAATATGTCTGCCATATTTGTGCTACGACGGCAACCAATGCTTCCAATCTCAGGGCACATATCAGAACTCATTCTCCAGAGGAAAAGAAATACTTTTGTGAGGTAGAAAGCTGCAATAGAAGGTTCCTAAGGAGCGCTGACCTTGAACGGCATAAGAAAACTCATTCTCCTAGAACCAAAATGTATGTCTGCGAGTATTGTATGAAGGGGTTTACAAGGAAGGACTCATTGATGAGACATCAAGGGAAGAGTTGCGGAACGTATCGCACGAATGAGAAGCACCAATTCTATACCTGACATGCCTCGCTCCATGCCTGGCGATACAAGTCCGAAATCCGACAGGCATCTGGATTATATAATTTTTGTTCTTTTTTATTTACCTTTGACTCAGCAATAGAAAATAAAAAAAAGAATAAAGACATGCTTTTTACTTCATATTTGCCTGGATGTGACCAGCTTCCCTCGTTTCTGGTGAATAAATGATGTTGTGCAAATCACCAAAGCCTTCGGCGCCTCAAAAATCCTCCGCCTTGACAAACAGCACATATAAATTCAGATTTTTACAAGGACCACTGTTAAGGAAATCAAATTAATGCAGTTTGGATTATCGTTGCTTGTTCATTGAAGGAACCACTTTCCTTCTTCTAAGATTAGTAGAAAGGCTTTCTAATACGGTCTGGGGAAGATTCTCTGCCATGAAGGGAACCAAGACGTTGGCAATATCAGCAACATGGCCTTCAATGGTTATTTCAGTATGCCTGAGGACAGCTGTGATCAGGAAAATGAGAGTGTGGGCAAAAGTTAGTGAGTACGATTCGATTGATTCATTTGGGGGTTTCAAAATTGAACATTTGGCCAAAAAATAGCCGCCTATTTCTAAAAAGGCATCCAACAAATAAGCCATTGATACATCAGAAATGCGACTCCACATATGGCGGATTTCACTCAACCCAAAAAAAAAAAAAAAAAAAAAATGAGGATCCTACCCCTTCTTCAAACTGGATGTGAATATCCAGGGAGAATAGTTATAAGAAAATAAATAAAAAAAAGAAGACAAATGCGACAGCTTATTTGAAAATATATCTGCTCTCGAGCTGGTGTATTTGATGTGGCGAATTTATTCTTCCCGCAAAATATCAGTTTTGAATCCCATTGTGTACAGTGGCTCTTGCTGGTTGTAATTTATTGAGCAATCAAAAAAAGACGCGCAATATTTTGTAAAGTAGCTCGTTTTAAGTCCAATTGGACCGGCTCTACATGGAACTGGTAGCGGTCGCCGAAGCACAATTTCTCCAAGCAGCTATAGCACTTTCTGACAAAAGATGATAGCCGTGAGTATGAAGAGTAAACATCATGTGACTAATCTAGACAGCCATTTCAATATAGCTTTTAATCAAGTTGACAAAAAGGATGGAGCGCGGTATAAACATACTTGAAGCCCATGGAGCCCTCAGGAGATATGTATTTTTCCAATTCTGAATCCAACGGTGGTAAAATCGAAAAAATACGATTTACAATGGCTCATTAGGATTTTGGAAAAAGGGGTTCATACCGTAGCTATAGCCTAGGTGAGCGATATCCTGCTTTGACTAGGCTATGTCTCTTAAGGTTTTTTCGCATCGGCCATCTCGTCTAGCTCTGGAGTTTCCAAGCATCCGGCGTGGACAAAATGGCTGTGATGCCAAGTAAATGAGATGTAGTTAGTAAAATGTGTGAGCATTCATTTTCGCTGGGCTATGTTTGGTATGGGGTAGATGCCCGCTTGTTCTATGCAAGATAAAACAATTTTGTCACAATGCAGACCACGGTTTACTTTTAGGAAATCACTCGGAAGCAAAGTATTTTTCCAATTCAAAATATATTTAAACCACTTTAACTTGAATGTAAAACATATATTTCTGCCATGCCAACATTCATCGCATCATTGAAATTCCCTGGGAAATAAGCTATTCAAGAGATTCCTGTTGAGCTTTGTGATGACATAGTCGCGAGAACTATTTCCTAAGAAGCCGACTATAGTTCCCATATCATGAAAGTGATGAGGGCTGTGAAGATGATATGAGACCAGACAAAAGGAGTGATACACAGCAATATCAAAGAGCGGCAATGCATTTAATTATTTACAGAGAGTTCCCAGAGCCTTCCTGGGTGCTACTGACGATCCGGACTTGTTACAACCATGCGGTGGTTTGTTTGTCGGAAAAGGTTCAAATATATTTTTGAATACTTTGCTTCCCTATTTTTCATGACTGTACACTAAAATTTCTTCGCCAAACTCTAAAAAAAAATGACATGTGAGGCAATCACCTCCAATACATTTTTCTTGCATAGCACTCGTCAGCCTGATTCACCACAATACAAAATGTTTATTCTAAATTGGCTGACAGAGGGGAAATGTCGGGTGAGAAGAGGAAGATGAGTAAGGCAACCAGCCAACATAATCGAAAGTGTGCCCAGAGTTGTATAGTACACTGGTGCGACTTGGTAAAATCCCGAGTTTGGTTCTAGCCCGTTGGTGAGCGTTGATGCAATGTACGTAAGCAATGCAGGTACGCATATTTCAGCCTGTGGAGTAAAAATAGCAGTGTTACGACACTCTACTTTTAGAGCTTCAAGTCGTACTTCACGAATGTTTTAGGGTTACAGTCACGTTCTATGGCTCAAGGATTATTTTGGAAGACTGTAGGAAAACACCTCCTGCTGAGATGTTCTGTGGTGCAAACAGGCGTTGCATCAGGGCAAATTATGAGAACACATTCAAAGGCCACGGGCTTAGTAGAAATTATAGACGTTCGAATAAACGCAAGAAAGTGCATCCGCTGAATGGCACTTATGGAAAGAATATGTCTGGCCATGTTGTTGAGCAAGTGAATATTTGTTAGTCCTTGCCAAAAAGTCGTCGACTAATATATTTTAAAATATTCAATTTGAATTAAAATCTTAAAAAAAGATATTTACATGTAGGTTTCATTTTCTGTCTAAAAACGGAGGATATTTTATTCAATTTTTGACGAGGACTCTAATCTAATGGACGTCTCATACCCTTAATAAATAGTTAGGATACCCCAACAAAAATGTGAGGCTTTTGCCTGTAATCCATTACATGCGTAAAATAATCTTTCAGGGCACTGAATTAATTCAAACCGCAATAATCATCATTATAACTGCAGACTTTAATAGTATTTGGGATTGCTTGTGGTTATGATGTATATATGCCGCATTTCAAGACAGAGAAGTCTTTGAGGCAACTGGAAGCCTGGATGATTTCGTGTCATTCATCTTTTTTTTTTTTTATTTTAATTTTTAATTCGTTACTGAGCCAAGAGATATAAATAAAAGTGAAATAAGAAAATATAATACAAATGGTAAGGACATAAGAATCCAGACGCTACATCACCCTTGCCGGGGAGTGAACCATGTCAGGTATAGAGTTGGTGCTTCTCATTCGTGGGATACGTTCCGCAACTCTTCCCTTGATGTCCCATCAATGAGTCCTTCCTTGCAGAACTCTTATCATATTTTGTTGTTCAAGGAAGGGTGGGTATTTGTTTCGAATAATGTTCAAAAAGAGGATTAAAAACTGTGGAAGCAGAGTAGAGTAGAGACAACAGTAGAAGTGAGTAAAAGTGAGGAATTGAAGCGATCAATTTTATAGTGTAAGAGGGGTTTGCCACACCCTATTGAGCTTGGTTCGTGCGCATCTGGTATTCTTAATGATTTGACTCATTCATTTTTAAATATTTTGAGATGGTCAATATAATATCTGTCAATGCTGCTGTGAATACGTTCCGTACTCTGAATCTTTATGTTTGAAAAGGTAAGTCTAACCAAAACGAGCATTTACCAAAACGAGCAATCATCGTATCCTGTGATCACATTTTACCGCTCTTTCCTTGTGTAACGGAACTCTAACAGCTTGGCTTATGCTATAATTATAGAAGAATTTACTTTAGAAGAGAAAAGTAGTGCCCAAACCAGGACCCTGCGGAGTACTCTGTGAAGCGAAGACAAAAGGGTAGACCACAAATCATACGGTCCAAAGCTGCTTAAAGGAGTGGAGAGAAGAGGAGGGGAGAGGAAAGGAGGAGAAGAGGTAACAGGACTTGTTTTATTTTCTATTGTTTTTACTTTTAAAGAAAAATATGAATGGGATTCAGGGGAAATGATGCAATACTTGGGATTTGTAAGGCGATATGGACAGAGTTTTCTTTCTCAGAATTCCAGTGATGATTCTATGACTTAAAGATACAGCGATCGAATAAAAGGTTCAGGAGTGTTCTATTTCAATTCAATCGAGCTTGGAAAAAGCATAACAAAACGCTACTTCATTACCTGGTCGGTTCCTTAGGCCACGAAAAAAAAAAGATGTCTCAGTTCACTCAGGGCACTGCAGATGTATGAAAGTGCAATGCTGTCATGTGTAGGTTAAGTTAGGGGTTGTTAAAATTTTCAATATCAAACCGACGCGCCGGTATAACAAAGTAGTGGCTGGTTTGGTTAGGCCTTTTCAATTACAAGACATTAGCTAAGCAAACCTTTTATACTTGAAAAGATCTAATTGGGAAGAGTGAACAGCACAGATCTCTGGTTTCAGAGAATTCCCAATCTGGCTGTGGCCTGTGCACTAGTCGAGAGTGACATGTATATACATAATTCATACCCATTATTCTCGTGGAAAAGGCTCTCTATCAATTCATCAGCGCAAGGTGCATAGTAAGGTTGAAAACAATATTTAATAACTCAGGTTGAGTTGCTAAATAGGCTGGCTGCTAAATCGAGGGTGGTAATCAAATTTATGAGCTGTTTCAGCGTTAGGTTTACACCTGCCTTCCTCCTAACACGTGTGGAAGACGGTGACGTAGACACGAAGCGGCGAGCTGCCAAATGTTAGCGCGTACTTGACAAGTTCAATCTTCATTTAGTCCTTTCTCTTCTTCTCATCTCCCATCAGTTGAACTTCCTCAACCATCGTGCTTCCCTAGGCTGCCCCTCTCTCTCCCTACCAGTTGATCTCTATTTTTTATCTATTCCGTCTGTGTATGTGTGCAAGCATAATATTATTAACATTATTGACTTTTGGCGATTTTCCATGTGTGCTGTGAAAAGGTTGCATTTAGTACACCAAAATATGCTGATCAAACTTTATACCATCACGACCCATGATACTCAACTTCACAGCATTCGTCAACTTTTTTTTTTATCATGATGTGATTCATTGTTTTCATTTTCATTAATTCATATTGTCTTGAGCTTGATCATGAGGAACAGAAGCAATGATCAGATAGAAAAATATTTGTATTATGAGTAAATGCACAGGGAGACCAACCACGCCACTTCGTAGTTGACTAATTACTATGTCTATGATGCTATTCTGGCACATGATTCAACTCTACTAGATTGGCCCCTTGTACATACCACCTATTCGTGTGAGCCATCTTTTTCTACTCTTAGTTTGGTTGATCAATTCATCCTGAATCTTTCCATTTCTTTCCCTTGGGTGCGCATCATGTACTCTTTTGTTCAGTATGAGCTCTGAAGATAAACAACCCAATTCAAGTCAGCCCACAACTCCCGCCTCCTCCAGGTTGAGTCTCCCCTCCAAAAAGTCCAGTTTCTTGACCATTGTCAAAGCTCAGGTCAAGGTTCTCCTCTCAACCCTTTCCGAGAATACTTACACTCGAAGTGTTACTGAAATCCACTCGGTAAGTCTGTCAAGAAAGGCTTCGGAGCACATTTAACCATAAATTGGAGCAATTGTTCATCCACAGTCATTTGGTGACATCAACGCTTTGTTCCTTTATTTTTATATTGACACACTATCTCTATTTTTTATTTATTTATTTCAGCTGATTGAGGACAACGGAAAACCCGTTTATTTACATTTTATAAGACTCATTGTCCAAGCCTGGCAATCAGGGCAGGGATCTCAATCAAGTAACTACTCAGGTGCACCTATCCACAGGCTCCTCATCGATCAGGTTCAGGTCCTCGCCAAGACCCAGACCTCAGCCACATACTTTTGCGAAGCCGTTAGTACAACAGAAAAGAGTGAGGCGCTCAAGAATTTTGATTTCGAGCTCTTTATCAAGGATTTGCCATTGAAGCCTATTGAAAAAATTCGCCTAGCCATTGCACTTCTTCAGTCACCCAAATCTGAACTCGTTGCTCAAGGTAAGGCCCATGCAAATGAGCTTTTGTATTACAATGGAGAGCGCGATTGTCAGTTTATAACTTATTACTAACAAACTTCTGAATCGGACAATTTGCTTTTTTTAACGTCGTAACTACATCTACCAGCTGAACGTATCATTCAGTCAACTGCATCAGCCTTAAAGGAGCAGCTTACCTCAGCCGATCAATTACTCGAGTTTGTTCAATCACTCGACGCGTCAAATTACAAGTCCTGGGACGAACCGAGGGATCCAGTCACCGGTCTTATTAATACTTTGTACAATAACAACATCCCTTCAGTCGTCACTAACACTATCAAGGAGATTCGGTAGGTCTATGAGCCGTGCTCTCCTTTTTTTATTTTTTATTTTTATTTTTTGTGACTCTTTGGCCATGGTCATATATTACTACAATTGGCTTCTATTGACGTGGGTTTTCATTCTCTAATAGCGATATGAATGATAACTCTGAGTCTGCAGCCCTGGCAAAAGTCATGTGCGAGGCTGGACCCTCTTGCTGCAAATCAGTATCATCTGTTAATGATATTCTGCGCCAAGCGGGATATGATAATTCTAGGACGCCTGATGAGCAAGATATTGCACGTGTTCTCGGCATGATGGTCTCACGACAATCAAAAGCAGGCTCTGAGAGTGCCTGGGACTTTAAGAACGTTGCTACAGCACTAAACAAGAATACTGTTGATTGGGTCAAGGTCATTCAAGCGCTGGACTATCCTGAATTCAAGATCTCAGATGTTTCTGGCTTAGAATTTATAATCAATTCATTCAGAAGTGCAGACAAGGTATGGAGGAGAAATGATAATTAATTTGTTTTGCCATATTGGTTTTCATATGCATTATGCTCATTCAACATTGCACACTTATACCATATATAGAATGGGCGTCTCTTTCCTCTAGAGGCGTTCTGGGGACAGTGGAGCAATGTTGAGGGTCAAATTTCAATTTTGAAAGCGCTCGTTGCTGCGCCGACAAAGTTATTAGAACAAGAGTGGGCGGCATCATCTAGGACATTCACAAGAGATCAGTTTGCACAGTCAAGCGCCGAAGTTCAGGCGCACGCATCTGCTGAGCTGGAATCGAGTGTTTGGAATTGCATTCCTTTGGTAGAAACTGTAATGACATTGGCCGACAACGAAGTTCATGACCCACTACTGGATATGGGCTTAAAATCAAACACAGAGCTTCTCTTCCTTGGCCTTGTTCAGCTCAAGACGCCTTGGAGTTCATTACATCAAGACGTCGTTTCCAAGTTGCTTCATGTTTATTTGACAGGAGTTGGCATCATCCCTCAATTTGTGCAAACACGATTGTGGCAGGTTAATCAGGGTCTATTTGTCTCTGGTTTGTTGGACCTTTACGATCATGACCGCTCATCACTCCCAAAGATACTTAAGCTTACAGAAGATCTTTCGGTAGGCCTACATATTTTCCTACTTTTAGCTGTTTTCTTTCTTTCTTTTTTTTTTTTTTTTTTTTTTTTTTTTCTTTTTTTCTTTTTTATTATTCAATGTTTCTGGACACCCAGCTGACTATTTTCTCTATTTAGATCTTGAATAAGGTGCTTGAAGTCAAGTCATTTATGTTTGCGATTGATTTGGCCGTGCTTGCGTCCAGTCGGAACCTTTTGGCATTGGATAAATGGTTACAGAATAGGATCGCTGCTGGTCAGGATATCTTCGTCAGGGCTTGTCTGGACTATCTTAGTGAGAGAATTGTTAACGATGCTCGTCAGAGCACCCCAGCAAACAAGGAGCTACCAGTAGAGACAATTACTATTTTCTTACAAGTCCTTCTTGGAAGGTGAGTATCATGGTTTTGAGTCCTGTATTCAGTTGGATGATCGTGTATAGGTTGATTGAATGTCTCGACTCACCCAACCCTGTTTCTTGTAAAAGTTCAATTTCCCCTGAAAATTCAGCTGTTTTGAAGAATGTTCATAATGCATGTCTTCAACTCCATCCTCAACTTGCTAATGTTGCGCCTGCTGTAGAGGGAGGTGTCACCGGTAACGAGACATCATTTTCAGATGATGTTGAAGAGGCCAATAACGATTACTATAAGCGCATCTACCGAGGCGAGATTTCCATCCCTGAAATTGTTGATTTGTTGCAGCAGTTTAAGAACTCCTCTGACCCTCGTGAGCAGGACATCTATGCGTGCATGATTCACAATTTGTTTGATGAATACCGATTCTTCCCCACGTATCGTGAGAGAGAGCTCGCCATCACCAGTGATTTGTTTGGTGCTCTAATCCAACATCAGCTAGTCTCCTACATTCCACTCGGTATTGCTCTCCGATACGTATTGGATGCTCTCCGTAATCCTCCAGGGTCAAAGATGTTCAACTTTGGTGCCCAAGCTCTGAGTCGATTCCAGTCAAGGCTTCAGGAGTGGCCCACATATTGCTCGCATCTCCTTCAGATCCCTCATCTTCAGCAAGTCCATCCAGAGATTGTGCGCTATATCCATGCCGTTCTTCCTTCCGCGACTGCAGCCTCACAAGACGGCTCTGGTCTCTCGTCAGACCTTACCACTTCATCGCCTCAACAACCCATCAATCAAGAAGTTCAACGACAAATTTCACAACCAACACCTGCTTCCACAATAGTTCCCCAACCAGCAGCTCCCCCTGTTTTTACTTCTCTTAATGTGGATACACTTCTCATTGGGCGCGATGATATCGACTATGAGGCACCTAATGAGCAAACGCAAGACAAAATTCTGTTTATCGTCAACAATGTTTCTCAAAGCAATCTAGAGGTGAAGCTAGCAGAGATGAAGGAGCTTCTCCGCGAGAGTGCATACCGTTGGTTCAGTAACTATATCGTAGTCAAACGTGCGAGTATTGAGCCCAACTACCACGTCTTATATCTTCAATTCCTCGATGGACTTCAAAGTCCTTTGCTTTATCGCCATATTCTACATGAGACTTACGCCAATATCAAGATTTTAATCAATTCCGAAAAAACAGTACAGTCATCTTCTGATCGAACCCTATTGAAAAACCTCGGATCCTGGCTTGGTGGCATGACTCTGGCTCGTAATCGACCCATTAAGCATAAGAATCTGGCATTTAAGGTATAGTATTTCTTCAACTTAAGTAATCCAGGCTCGTTTCAAAGTTGTTTTTCTTCTTTTTTTTTTTTTTTTTTTTTTCCTCGTAGACTAACTCCGTTTTATCACTTTCATACATAAATCTCTAGGAACTTCTCATTGAAGGTTACGACAGCAACAGACTGATTGTCGCCATTCCATTTGTCTGCAAGGTTCTGGAACAGTGCAACAAGAGTAAGGTCTTCAAGCCACCTAACCCCTGGCTTGTGGCCATTATGCGTCTTCTTGTCGAGCTTTATCAGTTTGCAGACTTGAAACTGCATCTCAAGTTTGAAATCGAGGTGCTCTGCAACAGTTTGTCGCTTGATCTCAAAGAAATTGAACCTACTAGCATTCTGAAGGACAGGCCCCCCAGGAACTTGTCGCTCACCCTGCAACACTTACTCAGGACTTTGAGCGTCTTTCAATGGGCGGATATGCTCCATCAGCAAGAATGCCCGTTCAAGCTGCAGTCCCTTCGACCGTTGCCACTTCACAGCAGGATGCTTCTATGGAGATGGTTCCCAATTTGGCTGCATTTGTCACTTTCAATCCTCCTGCGTTCTACAATGAGCGCCCTGCTCTCAAGCGACTCGTGCATATTGCCATCGATCGTGCTGTCCGAGAGATTGTTGCTCCTGTTGTCGATCGCTCTGTCACTATTGCAGGCATTTCCACACGTGAGATGATCATTAAGGACTTTGCCATGGAGCCTAATGAGGAAAAGATGCGCAAGGCCGCTCATCTTATGGTTCAAAATCTTGCTGGTAGTCTTGCCCTTGTTACTTGCAAGGAGCCACTCCGAGTTAGCATGGCTAATATTATTCGCACGCTGTTCCTCCAGAATGGATTTACAGATCAGAATATGCCAGAACAATCCATTCTGATGACTGTTAATGACAATTTGGATCTTGCTTGTTCCGTTATCGAAAAGGCAGCTATGGAAAAGGCCATTCCAGAAATCGAAGAGAGCTTAGCGAATGCATTTAATGCAAGGAAGAAGCATCGCGAACGTACAGGACAACCTTATTACGACGTGGCTACGTATCAGTCTTCTCGCTATCCTGCCAGCCTTCCCGAGCCCCTCCGTATTAAGCCTACAGGTCTCTCGGCTCAGCAGCTGCGCGTTTATGAGGATTTCGCCCGCTTGCCCAGACAGGCAGCTATGGCACCAGTCTTTGACACTGACAGAAGTGTTCGTACTCCTCTCAATGCAAGGGCTGATGCCGGTCAAGCCTTCCCGTTCAATACTAACGAATTGTCGTATAACAACGCGCCCATTCCACTGTCAGCTCACCAGGCTCTGGAGAAGTTTGCTCAAATCATCAGTGAGCTTGACAAGCTTATCAGTCTTTCGCCCTCAATGCCTTTGGCAGCACTTCCTCCCAACCACGAGGTCAAGATGCTAGCTCGTCTCGTACCCTTAATCCCTGCACAGTCTTTCAGTCCTGATGAGATGGCACTGACGTTCTCGCAAAAGATTGTTCAGTTACTGTACAAGACAGACCAGGTATTGTCGCGAGATGTGTATGCAGTGTTGTTGGAGCAGCTCTGTGCCCTTTCGAGCAAGGTGGCCAAGGAAGTGACTGAATGGCTTATCTATGCGGACGATGAGCGCAAGTTTAATGTGCCTGTCACTGTGACGTTGACTAAGGCCGGATTAGTGAGCCTTGTTGACCAGGATATTCAACTGGCGCGCCTAATTGAGATTGGCCGTCCCGGTATAGTTGAGTACGCTATCAAGTTGATTCGCGAATGTGTCCTTAGTGAACAACCCTGCGCTAGCCGCAACGAATTCATCAACTCACTCAACGTGCTTAACCGCCTGGCGCAACGCGGAGGCAAGACTGTCGAACCTATTGTCTTACTTATCGAGGATATCCGCCGACGTGCTCTGGCACCTAGGGAGGCCGCCAAGGATATCGACAATTCAGTGCTGCGAGAACAACTTGCCTTTATCTTTGCTGAATGGATTCGCGTTTATCAGCTTCCGACTTCAAACGATAAGGATTATGGTGCTTTTATCAATTCGATTCAACAGCAGGGTGTCTTGAAGGGCGAAGAAATTTCGTCATTGTTCTTCAGAGTATGCACGGAAATGAGTGTGGAGAGCTACATCAAATACAAAGTTACCAACACTACCGCTGCATATCAGGGCGTTGACGCCTTCGTTAAATTGATTGTTACCCTTGTCAAACATTACTCAGATCCTCAAGGCGTGAACCACAGCGGAGCCAAGGTCACGTATCTTACTACTTTGTTGTCCATCATTGTTTTAGTCTTGGCTCAGGCACATGAACAACGTCGCGGTCAGTTCAACCAGAAACCCTTCCTGCGTCTATTCTCGGGTCTGTTGACAGAGATGATGACTTCGTATGAGTCAAGCCCTGGCATGTATTTCCAGATCTTGACAGCTTTTAGCAACACATTCCATACTTTGCAGCCTTTGGTCTTCCCTGGATTTACATACGGATGGCTTTCACTTATTTCTCATCGTGCATTTATGCCAAAGTTGCTGCTGGCGGAGAATGGTAAGGGATGGGCCTCATTCCAGAAGCTTCTCGTGTGCCTCTTCCGTTTCTTGATCCCATTCTTGGTTGGAGGGGAGATGCGGGACACAACTCGGGCACTTTACAAGGGTACACTTCGGGTGTTGCTTGTGTTACTACACGATTTCCCCGAGTTCCTGTGCGACTACCACTTTAGTTTCTGTGATGTGATTCCTCATACATGCATTCAACTGCGCAACCTGATTCTCAGCGCGTTCCCGCGCAACATGAGGTTGCCAGATCCTTTCACGCCCAACCTGAAAGTGGATCTTTTGGCGGAAATTCATCAACCACCACGTGTGCTTTCAGATTACACTAGCAGTCTGTCTGTTAGCATGAAGAGCGACGTTGATACGTATTTGCGAACACGTGAACATGCAGCATTCTTGGACAACTGGCAAGAGATCCTGGCACTTGATCCTAACAATCAGGACTTGTTCTCTGGAGGATCCAAATACAATGTACCGATGATCAACTCGTTGGTCTTGTATGTTGGCGTCAATGGCATTGCACAATTGCATGCTTCCAAATCAGAAGACAATGGTAACAGCAGCAGCAGCAGCAAAGACATCGGAGATGCGAATGCCAACAGTAATAATGACAACAAGACTGTGTCTTCACCTACAGGATCCTCATCGTCTTCGTCTTCCCAGATCGCGCAGACAGCATCAATGGATATTTTCCAAAAACTGTTGACAGAGTTGGATTCTGAAGGCCGCTACTTGTTCTTGAGTGCGATTGCCAACCAATTGAGATACCCTAATTCTCATACGCATTACTTCAGTCGTGTGCTCCTGTACCTCTTCCATGAGGCTACTCAGGAAAAGATCAAAGAGCAGATTACAAGGTAAAGGAAGGAATACCTTTGAATTCTGTTTTCCTTGGATTTTTTTTTTTTTTTTTTTTTTTTTTTGTTCTCTCATCCTAACAATTGACACTTTACATACATAAAACATAGGGTTCTGTTGGAACGTCTGATTGTAAACCGCCCACATCCATGGGGTTTGCTGATTACGTTTATTGAGCTTATCAAGAATCCACGCTATGCATTTTGGGACCATGCGTTCACTAGGATTGACCCTGACATTGAGAAGCTTTTTGATTCTGTATCGCGGTCAGTCAAGCGATCAGCTTAAGGACAAGTAACAAGACAGCATTTCATACGAGATTGATTATTCTTCATTTTGCCACGCTTTACGTTTTATTGTAATCTTTGTCAAAAGAGAAAGCATTGTACCATATTGGTCATTTAGTTTAGATTTGAGATTTTTTGAGTGTACGACTATTCCATAATAAAAAATGCCCATTACACATTACACATTACACATTAAATTGGAGCAAGGAACAATATTTCAGGATATTGCTACAATAAAGATTCATAGACAGAGAAATATAATTTTTACCTTATTCCTTAACATCACTCCACTTGATCATCCAAAAAAAATAAAGTGCTCACAATGGTGAACCGTCGAAGCATTGACTTTGTGGTGCGAATGTTGAATGCATCTGTGTTCCATTTGTCTTTCCCATTCTTTCTCATCCCTTGTATCAAACTCTATGGTATCACGAACGAAGGCCTAGCATTCCAGCTGGCAGCTGTTTATGGAGTCTTGCTCTTTACTATCAGATTGGCCTATTGGTTACATGATCGTAGTCAGCGCCAAGATGGCAAGATTGACTGGGACGATGAAATTGTATTGATCACAGGAGGTGAGGGTTGAAAAGATTGATAAATAGAAAGGATAGGAGCCCTTTTTTCTTAGGGTGATCATGAATCAGTAAGATATTGATCTCTGATCTTGTTTATTTTGCAAAAAAAAAAAAAAAAAAAAAAAAAAAACATTCGAGTAGGTGCTAATGGAGTAGGCTATCTCCTTGCGGAAGCATTGGCTATTCGACACATCACAGTTGTTGTTCTTGACATTCATCCTGTTAAAACTGCATGTAAAGTAAAAAAATATCTTTTACTGTTAATACCAAGTGATGGTCTCGTTAATCCTAGTCCTAAATGATAAAATTGCTTAATACACTTGTATTATGGTGTGTAGTGGATATTGAGAGTTACATCTGCGACGTATCAAATCCCGAAGACATTGTCCGTGTTGCCAAAGAGATCCGTGAGGATGTGGGTGAACCTACTATCCTAGTCAATAACGCCGGTATCGTTCATGGAAAACCAATCCTTGATCTGTCAGTTGATGATATCAAGAAGTAAGTTTTTTTTTTTAAAAAAAAAAAAAAAAAAAAAAAAACTTTTATTTTAACATTTGTTGACTTTTTACTTCTATTTTTTTTTTTTTTTTTTTTTTTTTTGTTTTTGCTTTATTTAGGACACTGAATGTGAATTTTTTCGGTCAAGCCTGGATGATCAAGGAATTTTTACCAGATATGATTAAAAATAATCATGGACACATTGTATGGAAAGGAAAAAAAAATAGTCAAATGGGGTTTACTTTTATGTCGACAAAAATGTTTTTAAGTATTGTTCAACAACTTAACGTATTATCGCTTTTTTTTTTTTTTTTTTTTTTTTTTTTTTACATACATATTGCACTACTCTTTTGGTCTTGTTTACTCTTCTATCAATGTTAGATTACAATTTCGTCCGCAATGGGAATGATGGGAGCACCACAAATTGGTAAGGACTTTTTTTTTTTTTTTTTTTTTTTTTCCTTTTCTCCTTTTTTTTTTTTTTTTTTTTTTTTTTTACTTTTTCTGTTGTTGCTGCTAGAGGCTATTACAACCACGACCAATAATTAGCGCCATCTTTCAGTCATTTATGATATAACCTGTTATTGCTGTTGTTGCTACTATAGCGGACTATGCTGCGTCAAAGGCTGCTGCAAAGTCATTCCATGAGGTACTTGAAACCGAAATCAGATATGTTTACAAGACCCCTGGTGTGAAGACAACGTTGGTCTGTTGTGGGAAAGTGGAGACAGGGATGTTTCATGGGGTGAAAGAAAATCTACCCTTCTTCACACCTCCCTTAGAACCCTTGGAAGTAGTTCGAAAGATTATTCGGTCCATGGAAGAAAGACGAGGTCGAAACCAGATTATGATGCCATTCTATGTTCATTTTGTCCCATTGGTCTCGATTACTCCAGCATGGTTTCAGGATCTGGCTAGGACAATCAGTGGTGCTGATAAGGCCATGGAGACTTTTGTTGGTAAAAAGGGTTTTGTTCAGGAGAAATTGATTGTAGAGCCAATCGAGTTGGATAGCAATAACGGTAGTAAAAATAGTGAAGCAGATAAAGATAAATAAGTATAGACCAAGTTCAATCTTGTTGCTTTATAAAATATTATATAATATATATATATATCAATCCAGACTTCTGGTTCTGAAGGTTAAACGATGGGATATTAAGAGACTTGTAAAGCCCCGGTGATGTTACACAGACATTTCTTTCTTTTAAAGAATCGGTCCGTGCACCGTAATTATGAGCTACCTTTATCTTATTCAAAACACCTGTACTTCCTAATCAGGGGTATTACTATCCTATTCTCGCATTTACTCTCGATGTTGCTGCTCTTGCTCATTTCAGGGACATTGTCGCACTGTTTGTGGCCCAATAAGCTTTCTTAGGCTATAAGAAGACTTAGTAGTGAGCTTGCTCATAGAGGATCTTGGTCAGTGTGGCAGCTTTAGGTACAAAGTGATCTTAAGGAATCTACAACAAGGACTCTGTTAAAAAAATAAAATAAAAAAAAGTTTAGCCGGCAAAGTACACATAAAGCCAAGAAGATCTTAGTTGTCGTGCAAGTTCAATATCTCGCTTCATAATCCCTGAACTTCCACAAATCGCGGTTATAGCCCCATTCTAGCCTCGTTCGTTTTTTCCACTCCATTTCCTACAAATTGTGCTCTTGGCTTACTTGTGAATTCAAAGATCGTCGTCTCTGATGCCTTTGTTTTATCTTCTTTTTATCTCTTTATCTTTCTCTCGTATATCCATGCAAATGCCTTCCTTCTCTCACGACTCTCTTTTTTCTCATTTGTCAATCGCTCTCTTCAGGAGCTCCAAGTTCCTTCCAGTTGCAGCTGCCTCGTTCCTCTCTCTTACTGCATTTAGTTCAAGGAGTTTGCTAGTGTTATCAAGAACGAACTTTGATGCATGTCCTCAAGACATTTGAGGGCCTTTTGGCCCCCCTTCAAGGCCACGACCCATTGCTCAAGAGACCAAACTGCCGAGAAAGCAGCTGTTCATAGAATAGAATAAAAGATTTGACGATTTCTTAGCTGGCTATTATTGCAACATGCCAAATACTTAAGTTTGCATAAATATAACCCAAAATTAGTGGCAACGCAACCATGTGACCATTTTCTTTAAAAAGGGGGAAGCAAAAGGCATCTTCTCTTTTTTATCCTCAATTAGAATAATTCAGCATTAAAAAAAGGTTCATTGTCATTCTCCAACATGGTCCGCTTTGCAGTCATTTGTGCTTCCAATCAGAACCGAAGCATGGAGGCGCATAACGTGCTACTGTAAGCTTTCTTTCTTTTTTTTTTTTTTTTGTAACTTTACAAGCTGTTCACTACTGGATATTTGATAAAAGGATACCAATCCTAATTGAACTAATGTAGAGACATAAATTAAATAGTAAAAATGGTTTTACAGTATCATCGTACGGCACAGGAACAATGGTTCGTTTACCAGGACCGACGATTGACAAACCTAACATTTATAACTTTGGAACACCCTATAATGACGTCTATATAGAATTGAAAGGCAAGGACGCATCATTGTAAGGATTATATATATATGCTCAACTCCCAATTGACCGTTAATGCCATATCTAGGACTTTTATTGACTTTTTTTTATTTTATTGTATTGTATTGTATTTTATTGTATTTGATTTGATTTCAAGATACCAATCCAATGGATTACTGCTAATGCTGGACAGGAATCGAAAAATCAAAACTTCACCGGAACGGTTCCAAGAGAGTAGGAAGGAATTTGATGTGATCATCACTTGTGAAGAGCGCTGCTTCGATGCGGTGTGTGAAGGTACTCTTTTTTTTTTTTTTTTTTTTTTTTAATTTTTCCATGGGAGTAGCCTGGGAAGTAAAACTCATCATTATTATTTTGTAAAATAATTTAATCCGCGTATTAATGAACTTTTCTTTTCTTTTCTTCTTTCTTTTTTTAAAACAAAAAAAAAAAAAAAAAAAAAAAAAAAAAAAAAATGTTATTAGATCTGATTCAACGTGGCGAGTCGCATAGCAATCCAGTCCACGTAATTAACGTTGAGATCAAGGATAACTATGAGGAAGCGATGGTTGGTGGACGGATGATTCTTCATCTCGCCAAAGATATTGAGCAATCGAAAGATTTAGATGAGGAAATTCAACCCATTCTGGACCGCTTCCAGCAGCGTTACCCCAATACTTCAATCCTACATTCTGTCTCATTTTTCTGAACAAGTAATACTATTAATTAAACAAACAAACAAAAAAAAAATAAAAATAAAAATAAAAAAATAAAAAAAAGAGTGGGAAAAAAATATTTTGGACACACTTTTACTATTATCACTTTTTTATTTTTCATGTACTCATCCACTTATTCATACCGAGGAGGGGTTCTACTTCGTTTTGAGAATATACATTTAAATCATCACTTCCTTTAGCGCCTGCTTATTCTTGGACTGTATTAGATAGCAAAATTGTACTGGTATTCAGATTCAGTGCTTTGAGCAACCCACAAAATTGCAGCGCTATAATATTTCAATATCATATTTAAAAAGAAAAAGAAAAAGAGAAGAAAAAAAAAAAAAAAAAAGTGTCAGTTCTCTAAGATTCACTGCAGAATAGAATAAAGGACAATGAACAATATTAACGGCTGACTCATATTCCTGCCACCCTTTGGTTAAATACCTGAACATAATTGATGCATTCTGGACAACGTTGCAAACTCCCCAGAAGGTGAATGGCTCACCATAGGCTGGCAAAATATATTTGATGCACAGAACGGACTAATATGATTGAGAAGGAGGAAAATGCTTTATGAACTGTATACACTATGCAATATATATACACACACATATATATAAAGCCTCTCCATAATTCTTACCACTGAGCCTGCAAGTCCTCCAGCCATAAATGCGAATCCAATGAATAAGAACACACGTGCTTTCCATGCAATGCTTGCACTTCCACCCCCACTCGAAAACGAAAATGAATCGCCTCTAAGTGCAGCTTTATCAATGCTACTGATACTATGAAATGAAGAGGAAAAAAAATACTTTTAGTAAATAACATCAAAAAAAATTTTAAACCGTTTTGCCATATTAATTATTTTTATAAAAAAAGTTGAGCGCGGATAGCAATAAAAAAAAGAAATAAGAAAAAGAAAAGAAAGTGCAAAACACTAAAGAGGGATATGGAGATAAAGGAATGAAGAGGCTTAGGAGGAATGGGGAATTGACTTACACTATCATGCCAATGGTACTACAGATGCCAGGGACCCAGTCTACAAAGGCAACCTCTGTCTTCTTGAAGCCTTCACTGTAATCCCAGTTCTTAGAACGGATGACTGCATCAATAAAGAACCACCAGCCAAGAGCAAACTATCCCCCATTCATCGAAACATAATAATAGAAGAAAATATCATTCGTAGAACGTTAGGAAAAAAAAAAAAAAAAAAAAAAAAAAGTTTTCACCTTGAAAAGCTGTCCAAGCTGCCAAAATGGAAGGATAAGTCAGCAGGGGATTTTTTTAAGGCTTTTGTTCATACCAGTGCTCCTGAAAAATAGATAGCGACATCTCGTGCCTTAGGGCCTAGACGAGGTAGCGTTGGAATAGGAAAAAGACAAATGCGTTTTTGCTGTTCGCTTAAATGCCATGAAGCCATTCTTTTTTTTTTTTTTTTTCCTGCTACGTATTTACTATTGCTGCTGCTGCTGTTGTTGATACTGTTGTAGCTGCTCTGTGCTGGGCTTTTCCTCGTTGGCTCTCGCACTGTTGTAAAACTTCTTTTTGCTATATAACGCCCTTTTGCAACGTGCAATGAAGTGACTTGAGAAAGAGTTAGTAATGTCAACCTGTTAGTTGCAAGGAAGCTCTCACGTTAAAAACACATGTTCCTATGCGTCTGTCCTCGTGAGCCGTGAATCAATGATGAATCATTGAACTGCCTATCCTATTAAGGGGTTGTGGCCCTTGCACCAAAACTAGAATCACGTGCACTCACGCAAGTCGAATGATTTTTTATTGGACACCACAGCCGCCGTTCTAGCACTTTTGTGGCTTGAGGCTTTTATGGTCATTAAGGGACTTAAGGGAGGAGGGTTATCCAAATTTTTGTGCAACAGGAAAATCGATATCATATGCCATCAACTAGTAAAAATGGAGTGCTAATTTAGGGGGGGGAATGTAGCTGTAGAAAAGGAGAGATTTTATGTCGTCCTCAGTACATCCTTTGGTTATATTATGTTTATTGAACATTTCTATCAACCATTACCTACCTCTCTTCCAAGCACTCTTTAAAAAAGAAATATTTTGCCAATTATGTCAAAGAAATCTGACGCCGAGGTTATCAGTACCAATTCTGGTCTTCAACCGGACTATGAGGACTTGAGCAACCTATCGCCTTCTCTTCCATCATTGAATGGTGTTACTTTTTTCCCTTCACCATCACATCCTCAGGCTCAGTCTGAACATCCTCCAACAGCAATTCCTTTACACTTATCCAGGTCAATAAATATTAATAATAGTAGAGAGAATGAGAACGAGGATACTGCCAAGTGGACAACAGACGATGGTGGTAGCCTAGGTCATCGTCATGGTAGCCATAAAATGACCCTGCTGTCATTTCTTATCTCCCCTGTAGGCTACAGATGGCTAGGTTTTGGTCGATTATCTTGCTTCAAAAAGAAAGATAAAAACATCTCTTGGAAACACCATAACAGCACTAACAGAGCTACCGTAGCTGCCAAAAAACTAGCCACGGCCATGTTAGTTAGTTCTGAAGAATATGTAGCATGGTTCGAGTAAGGAATAACCTATTTGTTTAAAACAAGAGTAATGAGAATAATTCGCCGAGTCAGTAACCCGACATCATCTTGACAAAAACATGGGTATCACTTCACTCCAACAATAGGTCGAAGCGACAAAAATCCCCGATGTCTTCTGTATTTTCGTCATATCCAGATGATTTATCTGGGGCAACTCGAGCTGGCGTCCGTGGATTTGTAGCTGGCTATTTGGCAGGCACAATCACAGACGTTTTATTGCCTGCTCTTTTGAAGCTTCGGCTCAAAGGTCTTTTACAACGGCTCAAAAAGAACCATTCTTCTCGCTCCTTAGGCCTCTCTATTGGATTCTTTGCACTCGTTTACAAATTAGTCTTTCGGTATATGGCTATGCTATTGGATGGTGCCCCAACTGTTGCTGAACCACATCGAAGAGATTGTGAAACCCAGCTTAAGGTTCAAGGCCCAACAACGCCGCGGACGATGGCAATGCTGTGCAAAGGAAAAGGACCATCCATGAGGAGATTCTGTTCTGCGGTGATTGCTGCCTTGGTTGCATCACCAACGTTTGCATTGATCCCACAACAGACGCGTCGGCTTGCTGTTGCACTGTATTCACTAACTTACGCAGGAGAAATAATATATGCAGCTCTAAAGTATAAAGGGTATTTAGAATGGATTCCAGCATGGTGTAATATCTGGATTATCACTTCATTGTCCTGGGCAGTTATCGTGCATTCATTCACTCACCATACGGAATTATTAGCAGTAAGGAGGGAGTTTTCTATTTGTTTTTGTTTCTTACTTGAGCGACCTACACAGGACGAAAATCCAACACTGGTGTAACATTCGTTTTTATTTGTACAAAATAGCCTGAGGCATTGACTTTCATCTTTTCCCTGCGCTCTCCATATCTAATACGGCCACCTCAATTCGATCCGGCTGTCTATGGGCCTTATCCTTCTGCTAGGGACTTGTTTAAGGCCATGGCAGCTTATGCAGGCACCAGCCCCAAGTCAGCATCAGCTTTCGAAAAGCTGTCCATACCATCATCTTGTGTCCCAGTCCTTAAATCCACCGAAAATATGAATTATGATTCTATGTATTGCCGATTCTTCCATGCCAACACATCCAGCTGTAAAGAAGCCATATTGATGTTCACTAAAAGACAATCTTTGTACGCTTTCAAGATTTATTTAAAGTTGGAAGCTCTCATGTTTTTGGTGCGAGATGGCCGTGCTTTCCATAATGGGTAAGTTCTTATTAGTTCTCTCCCTTCCGCTTTTTTTTTTTTTTTTTTTTTGCTAACTAGGATTTTGCTCATACCTTTTTTTTTTTTTTTTTTTTTTTTTCTTAAAAAAAAAGGGTTATGAGTTACGTCAAGGAAGCGGGTATTCGGATTGTGAGCGATACAATTTGCTTGCTAGGTGCTTTCATTACAGCATTCTCGCTATATTGTGTATTCGAGCATGTGCTTCCGAGAGAATTCCTGCCAACGAAACGACATTATCTAAGTGGAGCCATGACTGGTCTATGGCCCTTGATTCTGCCACCTAAACGGCAATCAGTACTTTCATTATTTGCTTTACGGTTAGCGCTCAAGACTATTTGGAATCATCTTGTTGAAGCCAAATATGTTCGTAATATCAAGTATGTCTATCATTAAGCAAAAAAAAAAAAAAAAAAAAAAAAAGACCATTAATGTTGTAACATATTCATTAATTTACCTTTTTTTTTTTTTTTTTTTTGAACCCCCACAGACACGGAGAGACACTTCTTCTTGGCTTATCCATGTCGGCAATCATGGGCGTGCTTGAAGCTGTACCTGGATTACCGCGCAAAGGCCTTTTTCAAAAAGCACTTTTCAAGATCCTTGACGACTAAAAAAAAAAAAAAAAAAAAAAAAAAAAACTTATAGACTAGGATATCAGCGGGAAGTTCGGCTGTAGGCAAATAAAAAATAGGTTCATGTTTTACGCGTACATATAAAAAAAAAAAAAAAAAAACATTGCAGATATTTATACGGTGCAGTCTAGGCTCGTTCCCAGCCCCTTCACTTTAGGTGACTCAAAAGGAAATGGAATTTCCTGTCACCTTTATAAAGTGAAGAGGGATGGGAACGAGCCTAGATGCAGTCTACATTTTTTTTTTTTTTTTTTTTTTTTTGCATTTTATTTTTCCTTAATTGGGCTTTACGAACGAGGAGATATATACTTGTCTACTGTAGACAAGAAATGGATCATCTTCTTCTCCCCTTGTCTCTCTCTCTCTTTTCTTTTCTTTTTTTTTTTTTTTTTTTTTTTTTTTTTTTTTAATATCCACCAGGACCCAAATCATTATCGTAAGGACCGTAAGAACCGTAAGGACTGTAAGGATCATAGGGACCATAAGAGTCATAAGAGTCATAAGGATCATAGTAGCTATTGCTGTTGTACGAATAGTCATAAGGGTCATATTGGCCGCCACAGTAGCAAGGATCATAGTAATCAGAATAATCGTTCACATCCGTCGGCAGCACGTTCACAACTGGCTGGACATTGTTGATGGGCAAAAAATCTGTTATGGCAGCCACTTTGATCGGCGGGACAGGCACATGCGTCGCGTCGCCGCTTACACAATTGCCGTCATCAGGGTAATCAGGGTAACATCTCTTGATGTCCATGCTCATGTCCTTAATAGGGGTCGCCTGCACAATTTGAACCACGAACATTGAGGCAATTGCAGCAGCAGCAGCCAAAGTAACAAGGGAAGACTTTAGAAGACAAGGCATTATGGAATAATGATAATAAAATTATAAAAAAAAGTATATCTTTGAAGCTGAATTGACTTGGAAGATGCTGTTTCCTTCTTGCCAACTTGTGTCGGTCCCTTTTATACCCAATAGCACTTTCTCTTACCATCTATTTTTAAAGCGTTCTTTTTCCGCATCTTCGTGTATGAGGAAAATCCTCTTTAACACTTTTCATCATTAACTCTCATCCTAACGATAGAATCCTGACAAAATTGTTGTTTTATTTTTCATCTATCTTCAAAATTACTGATAAAAATGATAAAACTAAAATCAAACCTACATAATTTTTTTTCCCTTTCTTTTGTGATTCAATGCATTTGATCAGTGCTTTTATTTTTTATATGTCTAATATTACAAAAAAAAAAAAAAAAAAAAAAAAGATAAATGCAATATATAACTAATAAAAAAAAGCTTTAGCTACATGAGATCTCGAGCGATCGTAGAGAGTTGCTGGTGAGAACGCGGCGATCTCAATGTTGTCGGCGATGTAGGTGCGCTTCTATAGGGAGATCTTCGAGGAATGACGGGCGGTGTACTTCCATCTGCACCAGACGATTTATTCGTGGATGAAGACGCCGGTAAAGGCGAAGATTCGAGTCCGAGTCCAAGTCCTAATCCTAGTGAGGATAAAGATGTTGTTGATGTCGATAGTGGAGGTGTTTGTTGAGCAAACACTGGCGAAACTGGGGTGGATGGCTCTGATGGTGGCAACGGCGGTAACGATGCCAACGGTGTCGATGTCAGCCCTAGTTGGTTTTGTGCTTGTGCCTGTGTTTGTGTTACCGTTTGCACCGTATCCATTTGGATCTGAGGTGCCCGTACCGTTGTCGACATTGATGGCATTGGAGGCACTGGTGGTGCTGCTGCTATTGATACATCCACAGCGTCATCCATCTTAGATTGGAACTGCAATGGCGAAGGTGTTCCTGGAAGGCTGGTCCGGCGGTGATACAAAAATGCAGCAGCGGAAGATCCGCTTGAAGCGCCAGCACCAGCACTGATAGAAGATGAAGGCTCCCTTAACTTTCGAATACTCTTCAAATTACCTGCCCAATCCTCATCATGATGAAGGTCTGTTACGCTTTCAGCATCTTCATCTTCTGTGCTTATTGTCATTGCAGATCCCGCACTTCCTTTACGCGAGCTGATCAAGGGAGGCGGCGGATGATCTCCTAATGCAGCCGTAAAGAGTGAAAGCTTGCGCAAACCAGGATAAAGATCTAATGCCGCTACAGCATGCAATGCAGAATTCATGACAGGTGGCGATCCAGAGAGCATACGTTCAGAAACGCCATGCTGTTGTCCGCTCAATCTACGACGATAAGGATGGTAAGATCCATGATGGTGGCGGTGATGGTACTGTGGTTGGTTATTATCATCCTGGCCTTCTTCTTCTTCATCATCATCATCGCTGTGCGTAAATGAGGACGCATCAGATGAGGAAGCACTATACGAGTGGTTGTCACCATCTACACAGGAACAAACCGATGACCTGCGCTTAGAATGTGCATCAGTTCCTTCATGAGTCTTTGATTCAATACCATTCGCCTTTGTGGAGGGCGCTGGAAAAACAAACGACTGTGTAGATTGTAGTATGGGTCTTTTAGGGCCCATGTTCTTGATCTTAACAACGCCTTGTGGGCTATTTACTACCACAGATGGGACTTCACTAACTTTTTGCTCGTGTTGCAGGCCTTGTTGGGCATTCATAGCGATATCGGCAGTGGCAGCTGTAGCAAGGAATTCCGCTTGGAGGACACCAGCAGTGACTGTGGATTCTATGGGAGAATGTAACGGTGTACCATCAACAGGAGTGGAAGCGGCCAAAGGCGATGAGATAGATTTAAATGTCATGTTCCGAGGCGTATAACGAGGTACCTCCGACGACGGAGACACCAGAGGGGTGTTTGGGACCGAGAGTAGATGTACATCCTCAGCTCCATGAGGATAGCTGTCGCGGCGCGAAGCCACAAACGAGCACAACGAAGAGACTGTTGACGTTGAAAAGGAGGATCCTGAGGGTGAGGCAAGAGGGGATAAGCCTGGACGACTGACATCATTCGAAGGCTGGTCTCCCGTAAACGTTGGCGTGGCGCCACTGTCAATCAAAGGTGAAATAGTGTTTTGACCTCCTTGTACATTCAACCGGATCAATACAGGCGATGATGATTGCCTCCTTGCAAGATAGCTTGGTCTCGTTACCATAGCTGGAGTAAAAGCAGTAGTGGTAGCAACATCGAAAGGATTAGCTGATTCATCCTCTTTTGCTGGAGACAATGATGGTGAAATCGTAATAGCTGCAGAGGCCGAGCTACGCCTTGGAAGTTTTGATCGCTGTGAGTTGAATCGCCCATTCGAATTGGCATTAAGTCCATGAAATCTTTGTGAATGCTTGTTTCCGTGGCGCTTGGGTGGTGGCAAGGAGGTGGTCAAAAAACTATCCATAGAAAAGAGTGTTGGCGATGATGCAGTGTGCTTTGATTGCTGCTGCTGCTGATAATATGGTTGAGAGAACGAGCTGGGAGCCCCTAAGAACTGATTTCTGGCCCATGAAGGCGATGAGGTTATTGAATTTGAGTTCGAATATGGACCTCTGGTCGTATTAGTCACATTGCTGCTAGTATCGCTTCCAGCACTAGTTGCACTAGAGTCACGATGAAACTGCTCCACAGTAACCGAATCTGATAGAGGTTTTCCAAGTGAATATGAAGGTGGAGCCGGGATAACCGCCGAGATAGGGCTCTGCTGAGACTGCAAAATCGATGAGATCTCCGAAGGTGATGTGGCACCGCAGGCCAGCTGCTCCTGACAACTGATAATGCGCTCACCCTCTTCAGCTTCTCTGCTCTGTCCTTCTTCTATAGGTGATGTGACCTGGCTAGTATCCGCAGTCGAGGTCGTGCATGATCCTGCATCTGTAGATTCTGATTCTGATACGGTTGAGAGAGCTAGATGCAATGGTGAGAGCTGATTTGGTTTCTTGATTATAGACGTAGGGCGATTCTTTTGGGCCTCCTTTTCTTGGGCTTGTTTTCGTCGCAACTCCTCTGCTTCTTGTTCAATCGCTTGTGTAAGCTCATTAGGCGCAATGATATGACGGGAAATGCCTCCAATATACATGCTTTGTAGAGCATCTTGCTGTCTCTGTTTTTCAGAGCTAGCATATAATTGTGGCGGTGAATGAGGCTGCTGAGACTGAGGCGGAGCTTTTCCTGAAGAAGAAGGAGGAGGTAGAGCCTTCCGGGGGGGTTGCATAGCCTGTAACTTCTGCATAGTACGATGATGATTGGCTACAAAAAAATTGCCATCAAGGGTTGCTCCCGCCGATCCATTCTTATCCAGCGCTCCAAAATCACCTCCAATTTGTAAACCCATCTTATGGCTTAGGCTCAAAGAGTCCTTGCCTTGAGAATGATGGCTCGAAGCTGCAGAAGTGGCGCGCAGTAGAGGTGGAGCAAGCGGCTGGGAAGAATCTGCGGTAGATGTAAGTGGTGTTTGTGTTTGAGTGGTTTTGATAATAGCTGATGGTTCTACATTTGGTTCAGAATTACGTGCCTGTCTCTGCTGTTGCTGTTGCTGTTGCTGTTGTTGCTGCTGTGTAGCTGCTAAAGCGTCATCTACAACCGACACCGATGGGGATCTTTTCCTATCGTGAAGTGAGAGAAGTATGGGGAGACGGTTGGGCGGGATTGATGCCAGGTTGACATCCAAGTCAAGCTCTGCATCTCTTGACAAGGAAGTCATGGACTTGGAAGAGAGTCCTCGACTTCCTGGTCGAGAAGGTGGGGACAGTGCATCGCCACTGAACAATGGGCCTCTGAAAGCAGGGACATTTCCATAGCTAGAGCTCTTGTCTGATCCATTCCAGAACTTTTTAGGAGCTCTGATTGATCTACTGTTCGCTTCAAAATCTTGTTCCGGGCCATTATCCCTTTCCTTGTCCTTACTTTTTCGCTTTTCCATTTCCTTATCCTGATCATTGGGTTTTTTAACTTGATCCAAACGATACTTTTTATTGTGAAATGGACATGTCTTCGCCGGCTGTGTACATCCACTGAACATACACAATCCCGAACCGAATAATTTGAGAGCTGGACTGCTTCTGTTGCCGCCACTTCCGCTGTACGCCTTTCGATCCTTCTTCTTTTCCCTCTCCTTGTCCTTTCGGCGCCTACCTCCATTCACTAACTCTAAAAATTTTGCACCAGGCTTACTGGTGTTATTTATGGACCTATCCCCTTGAACAGGGTCAGCCGCAGTTGTTGTGTTGAGCTCGCTCTCCAACGTCGGGTCATCAGTTGGCGATATATCCAGCGCTGAGCCAATGGTGGAAATAGAAGTAGATGATTCAAAACTTTCAGACCCCTTCGAAGGAGAACTATTCCCGAGAAGTTTGTAGAACGGTCTAGGAGAGGGAGCACTATGGTTGCTGCCACTGAATATGTTATAGGGCTGAAATGTCAGAATTGGTGAGGCATAAGGGGAACCGGCTGCACTGACCACTGCAGAAGGTGCGCCTATATAATAATTGTGACATAGAATACCAATGTTAGCGAACATTTAGAATTAACAAGATATAGACAGATAGAGAGACAGAGGTAGATAGTTTGAGAAAAAGACGTACTGTTGTCTATAGAGACGCTAGAATGGATGCTTGACCGGACAGGATACACTCGTGGACTCTGTAGGTGCTGGTTAATAAGACTGCTCAAGGATGAGGATGCAGAATGATGACCTGTGCGAGTCTGTGATAAACTTGTTCGTCCCTGCCCTTGGTAATCCAACGATGATCGGTTCATCTCTGACAAGTCACCAAAGTTGAGCTCGGGTGTGCATCCCGCGCTACTACTGCTGCTGCAACTTCTTGTATGATCCGACTGTCGACTAAACGATTTGACGCTACTAGCTTTAGTTCCTTTTGGGCTTTGTTGGAGGCAAGGGCTCTGCTGCTGTTGGTGTTGTTGTAGTGAATCTAAACTTGTCCTGCCCAGTTGATGGTTGTTTGAGTGATGTTGATTCGATGTAGATACATACTCCAGATTTGAGCTTGTGTTGGCACTGCTATTGGGGATGGAGGAAGTCGAGGACCATGTGTCGTTGCTCTCATTCGATTGAGGGAAACTAGATAGGTGTGGGGGATTGGAATATGAAGTCCTTGAGGACTGTTGTTGAGACGGTGGCATGGTGTTAATGGGTGTGGTAGAACCATTATTCAAACCATCTGACTGCTCAACTGTTGCTGTTGGTGTTGCTATATTGCTATCAGTGTTGGAAGTACTAGAAGTACTTGGGGTGCCTGTGTTAGCAGAATCCTCCAGCTGCAATCGGTCCAGGACCTTATCGATGATATTTTGTTCTGTCTCCATTTCTGATGATCTATTTGGTAGCAGGCCACCACTACTAATATCAAAACCTTGACGTAGCTGCAGTCTTAATTCTTCAGAAGCAGCAGCTATAGATTCCCATGCGGCCAAAGCGTGGTCAATGTGTGCTTGGAGCGCATAGGTCCAGTTCTCAAGCGACTGAGCTGATTCTGTGTAAAAGACATGACTCTGAGGCTGGTGTGGGATAGGTTCTGGAGTTGAGAGTCGAAATGCGTATTTGGACTTGCGGGAGATGTCAGGACCTGAAGTCAGGGTCGAGTACACTGCCAGATGTATTATCCCTATCGGTTTGGAATCCGTCTAGAAGACATAAACAAAGATCATACTCAGCTTTTTTTTATTTTTATTTTTTTCACTCTCTTTCCTGTGATAGAAATGAAATAGAGGGCACATCAACGTAAATTGTTGTAAAGGAGCAGCTATGCAAGCATTAAAAAAGATACAACCAAACCCTTCCCCCTCTTGGCCAGTCAGAAGAGTGATGGTCCAAAGTGAAACACCCTTCGTCTGAGATCAACACTCTCTTTGTCTTGTTCCCATGATATCATGCGGAGGTTCAACGAGCATGTATGATCGGCGTGGCAACTGCTCTTTCGGTTTCAAAAAGAAAAAAAAAAAAAAAAAAAAACGCACATTCTCCTTCTCTTTTTCCCTATACGTTCATGGAGGATTTGGTGCTGTGGTAATAACCAATAATAAACACATTTATAATCCCGATTCCAAGATTAAAACTCAATGAAAGCAGAACACAGATTGGTTTAATTTGTGTTGTGCGCCATGTGCCCATTCGCCCAATGCATAATTTTGCATGTTTTTTTTTTTTTTTTTTTTTTCCCATGCATGTTGGTGTTGGTCATAGCCATCGATTTATAAAAAAAAATAAAAAAATAAAAAAACTTACATTGGATCGATAATAAAACAACTGGTCATCACGTAACACACACCATCGTCTCTTCCAAACCAATTGTAATGAGTTTGACCTCTTCTGTAACCAGTCTTGTAGCATAACGTGCTCTCCAAGGACATTGTCTTGGTTCATGAGGGAACCATTGTCTTGTTGGAGCATCGAAGGAATCGAGGAGATTGTTTGTTGAATTGATGGCCTGTCAAAGCTTTTATTCTTTTGCTGCTGGAGTTGTTGGACCTGCAAATCGTCTTTACCCTGGCTACCATGTTTGCTGTGAAGTTTGAAACTAGGCATACTGCTGTGCCCATTACCACTATTGTTGCTGTGATGATGATGATGATGATGATGATGATGGGAGTACTTGTGGTTGTGATTGTTGTGGTTCTTCATAAAGGGTAGTCTGCTACTGCTACTGCTATTGCTATTGCCAGTGCTATTACTGTCTTTATAATTATTGCTTATGTTAGATCCACCCCAAATACTGTTGTTGCCATTGCCACTGCCACTGCCACTGCCATTGTCATTGTTATTAGAATAATGAGAATACAATGTATCGGAGTCTAAAAAAGTTGATACTGACGAGGAATTGGTAGTCTGTAAGGGGAGGGTATCGAATCTACTGGAGAATGGAATGGAGCTAGATGTGGAGAGTGGTGTGGTTGAGGAAGGGGTAGTTATTGTGGACTGTTGCAACTGTTGCTGTAGGTAGTGCTGTTGTAACTTCTCATGCTGCAGCTGTTGTTGCTGCTTCTGAAGGTATGATTGGCTCTGATAGGTCATTTAGGTATAACGATGAAGCAGTCGAATTATTATGTTTATTATAATTATTGCTGTTGTTGTTAGGTCCTCGATCAAAGGACGGTATCGTTATCCTTTGTTTCTATCGTGCCGTTGATGTTAGAATACAGAAGTCAGATCGGAATGTGGAAGTGGTATTGAAAGACAGGAGTGAGTGAATCTGTCGGTACAAGTATGTTATAAGGCGTATATGTGCAATTGAGAGAAGGAGAGAAAGAAGGAAGAAGAATGATAATCCACTGAATGGAAGAAGGGGGGAAGAACAAGGGATCAAATCGAGTGAATGGATGAACACGGGAAAACTAAGAAAGAATACAAAAAGGGGAAGATCCAATGGGAGAGTTAATGAGTGATGTCCAAAAAAAGGAAGAGTAATAAGAGAAAGAACAAGGCGAGTCAGGAATGAAATAGAAAGAAATGTGAGACAAACTAAGAAAAAAAAAAGCAAATGAGAAACATTGAAAAATAAATATATAAAAAAAAAAAATAGAAAAAAAAAAAAAAAAAAAAAAAAAAAAGGCTGCGTAGGTAAGCCATGTTTCTGTCGGGACATGAGAAGGAAAAGAGGTTTAGGACAAAGAACATGTGTTTGCTCTACCCATAACATCACACCGCAGGAATGTCGATACAATGCATGCATGAACAAAGGAATGGACAAGTAAAATATACCCTTATTTTACACATCAGGGCAGTTTATTGTATATAATTACTGTAAAATCTATTGAGGTAAGAATCAAATCACCTAAAAAAAAACTTTGGACCAATATCAACTCCTCTCTTATACGCAAATCTCGGAACTCAATCGTATGAATGTTATTCGTCCTATTTTATTCCCGCCAATTTTTATTTTAGCCATGTGGAACACATGTACCCACTTTCTTTACTTTCTCATCATTCTTGCCGGCTGACAAAGAATGACCAACCTGACCGATCGCCAAAAAAACAAAAAAAAAAAAAAAGAGTCTCCGCAGGAGAAGCAGGGAGGAACATGTGCACCTGAGATGTTAGTCCAGGTCAAGGAGAAGAGGAAGGAGGAGAAAGAGGTAGAAGCAAGTGAAGGGCCCAGTAAGCACCCCTATACTCACTAATGTGCTCAGCAAACTCAACCCAGTCTCATTGACAAAACAGTTGTATACCAGCTCTTTTCTTATTCGTCCATTTTTTTTGTTTAGATATGACTGGCGATGTCTTCAAGAGCTATTGGATACAACATAAGAGCTACCTGGCTGGACTGACCATGTTAATGGGCGTTACTGTGAGTGTGAAGGGTTAAATGAGCAAGGAATCATGATGAAAAAACTGGAGTATAAAAGATCGATCCGCCCACGACGTTCATAGTAAACTGTTTAAAATCAAGATCAAATTCTGTGATCAAAGCTGCATGGCTGCACTGTTACATGGCACAAATGACGCACGTTTATTCATTACTATACATAATTGCCTGAGCGCCCAAATGTGTTTACAGCAGTACGCCATTCCTTTGCATGGCATATTCTCGATAAAAATGTATTCTCGTTTGTACATTGATAAATATAATAAGCTGAGACCAAGGATTGAGTTGAGTTTGTTTGGAGAGGAAAGAAAGACCTTTGTTTGTCCCTTTTTTGGAGAGCAAGGGCCAAAGGGAAAAGCTGTTGAGCAAACTTTATTTTCCGCTTATTCTATTAAATGCATGCTACGAAGGCGAGACAAAACGGGCTAAACATTAAACACTAAACAAGTCTGTGAATGTGGAGCAATAAAAAAAAAAAAAAGCAAAGTCTAGGCTTGCAGAGAAGAGAAAGGAAGCTATCTATATGGCCATACAGCCTTTTTTTTTTTTTTTACAACCAGTTCTTCATTATATAACATACATATACATCTCCTTTTATTTATACGTGTATAAGAGAATGGTATCAGGAGTGTCATTAATATTATTATTATATCATTAGGCACCCATGCATTCATGTTCCATTTTTTTTTTTGTCAAGATAAATTCTAGCTAAAAATTGTAAACTGCATGCATGTCTAGCGTGACATCGTCTTTGAGAATCGCGCATAAAGCGTCATAGATTTCAAGCAATGTTGGTTGGTTCTATACATTATTGATCTTTTTATTATTTTTTCTATATATTTCTTTGGGAGGGGGAATGGAGGTATAATTTACAAAGTTAGATGAGAAGGAAAAGGAGAAAAGACCATTAATTGGACAAACTAAAAAAAAAAGAGCTTATTCTTAGTTCAAGTCATGGTTAAAGGACACTACACTTCCAATTGTTATTCGCTATCATCCTCGGTGTAATCATGCCGAGGTGCATGCGCTAACCGAACTGGTCTTTTAACGCCATGTTCTGTCAAGATTGGTAGCCGTTTAGGATGGTCATGATCTTCATCGGATCGAGGTACATGTAAATCTAAATTCAATGACACGGCCGATCTATCCGCTGTGCCGCTTGGAGTACTGCCTCCATGAGTACTGCTACCACCTTTCTTCGGTACCACTTTGACGCTTTTAATGACGCCTTTTTGATTGCTGTGCTCACTGATATCGGTGTCGCTGTTCATCTCTTCGCCTTTCATATGATGGTCCATCGACCCTAATCCGGATTCTTCGTCGCGGTTCGTGCCGTGATTATGGTTGTGAAACATTGGCAAGAATCCATAAGCAGTCTCTCCCATCTGAGCCATATCAGTGCCCATTTCTTCTTCATGATCCTCCAAACGAAGACGCATGCCTGGGATCTTGTTCATGATATAAAGAATACCATAGGTGACAACGAAGGACCAACCCGTGACAGAAACAATCGCCGCAAGCTGGACCAAAATCTGCTTTGGGTTACCATCCAACCATCCTCCCAAAGGGATATTTGTGGCTCCAACGGGGTAACCGAGACCAATAATAGACTGCTGAGCAAAGACTCCAGTCAAGATCAGCCCACTAAGGGTTTAAAAAGTAGATGGCATTGTTAGATAGTTCTGTAAAAGCAAAAGGCGCGTATATACACACAAAAAAGGAAAAAAAGATAAACAAGACTTACATCAAACCTCCGACATAATGGACTGCAAAGACATCCAGGGCATCATCAAAAAGGTACTTGGACTTCCAGCTAACGCAGACGTTGCAGACAGCAGCACCGACCAACCCAAAGACCAATGAGCTTGAGCTCGAGACAAATCCGGATCCAGGCGTGATTGTAGCCAAGCCAGCGACTGCTCCAGTACAGAATCCGATGAGAGTCAACTTCTTGTTGTGGCGGTAATCCAACATGACCCAAACCAGACCTCCAACACAGGCGCTCAAGTGAGAGTTGATGATGGTCTGGACACCTCGTGCATTTGCAGCCAAAGCACTCCCGCCATTGAAACCAAACCATCCGAACCAAAGCAAAGCTGTACCAATGAACACGAATGCTACGTTGTGAGGGACTGTTGAAGGGTGGTTATAATCCTTACGCTTGCCCAATACCATCGCATATGCAACTGCTGCAGATCCAGAGCTAATGTGGACGGGCGTACCTCCTGCATAATCCATCACGCCCATCACAGTCAACCAGCCATTGGGGCCCCAAACCCAGTATGTGATCACATCATAGACCAAGGTGCTCCAAACAAACAAGAACAAAATACTGGGCATGATCCTCATTCGCTCTGCTGTGGCTCCATAAGCCAATGCTGGAGTAATAGCTGCAAACATCAATTGGAACAAAAAGAAGGCTGATCCAGGAACATTCGGTGCACTTGGATGAGGTTCCCAGCCGATACCTCGGCCCACAATGTGATCCAGGTTCCCAATGAATGGTCCACCAGTCGTAGAAAACGTCAAGGAATATCCCCAAAAGTACCATTGGATCGAAATCATAGCCACAGCCAAAACGGACAACATCATGAGTGAGAGAGAGTGCTTCATACGGGCCATGCCTGCGTAGAAGAGCCCCAGGCCAGGGCACATCAGGAACACCAGTGCGGTTGACGTCAGTACCCAGGCAATATCGCCGGGTTTATATTCTGTGGGTTGTGCCAAGGGATCCATCGCTTGAAGGTGGAGCTCAAATAATATTTATTTGTTTGAGTAAAAGAGGGGTGGGGGGGGGGGGGGGGGAAGTGTCGAAACGACAGTTGAGGCTAAGCAAAAGATGGCTGAGCGTCAGACTGAGCGTTTGAAAGAACTAAACAAAGTATGTCTTTGCTGTGTGTGGAATTGGAAATGTGTGCGCTTTGTTTTTGTTTTTGTTTTTCCTTCTGCGTTTTGTATCTGAACCTGATCAGTATCTGTATCAGTGGACAAAATTAGTATGGTGTAGGGAATGAAATGTAAAAATAATAAGGATCTATGAATAAGGATCAAGTGAAATGATTAAAAATGTAATTGTAGCAACTAATTGGCAAGAAAAAGGATGAAACGTGAAAAGATAGAGAAAAAAAGAAAGAAAATAAAGTGGAGAGTGTTAGGAAGAAAAAGAAACACAAGGAAAGATAACAGCCCTTTTTATATAAAGGCCACAATGCTGAGCTTATCGGAAGGAGAAGGACGACCAAGGAAGGGGTAGGAGTTGGACTAAACAATGTTGGATCAGACCGAGTTGATACATGATGACTAGTATCATTGGTTTGTATTGCCATGTGGGAGTCTATTAAAGTTACAGCAATCTGTGCTTGATAAGATACACATGCTCAATACTCAAAAAATCCTTTGGAGCTTACAAAGTAAACGTTCAGCACCACTTGTGTTCATCTACATATTTGTCACACATTGGTGGTGCACACACTCTGACCCGGACATAAAAATGTAGTAACAGCTTCTGAGGACATCGCATAAAAAAATCTAAAAGATGAATATGTGCTGCCAGAGATGAAGCATATGAGAAAGGGGGGATGACATTCAAGATACAACTGGGTCCAAGGGACTTTTTTTTCTTTTTGCGCTATGCATCTTATCGTCATTCATGGGGGGATACAAGCCAATTGAATTGAAGCATGGAGGTATATTTAAAAATATACATGTATATGATTGATCTGCTCCTGTTTAATATATACATTACTGTAGTATTGGATAAAGAAAAACAATGATCATTCGAAAAAACTTTTTGCTTTCAAGAAATGACTCCAATTTGCGTGCGGAAGCATTAGGACAATAAAGGGGGCAAAAGCGGATCTCGTCTTTTCTTTTTTTTTTCTGGTATTTCAGGGTTCAATTGTTTCTAACAATATAAGAGGCTTTGGTCTGTATTTCAATGTGTCATTCGTCCTATCTTTGATTACAATAAGCCGTTTAGTTGAGAGATTACAGGCATGCAGTACGGTTGGTTCAAAAAAAAAAAAAAAAAGTTTCTGGCTTCGGTCTCAAATGTTCTTCGGACAAAAATGTCAAACTAAAGAAACACATGTATATTCCTAGCCTATCTTTTTGCTTCACTCACGAATACCACATGAAAATAAAAAAAGTTCAAATCTAGACTGCTATAACAAGAACTTCGTTTTTGTTCGAGTCATGACTATTTGTATATATGACGCGCAACATGAGAACCATGAAAGAAGAGAGGAAAATGTAGAATGAACGTGTGCTGTACACAAACGTGTATCCAAAAAAAAAAAAGTGCACCTCTCTTCCTTTAGATTCTCGGACTCGGACACCGAACCTGAACGTTGTTTCGTGACTGTAAGTAGGGAAAACAATTAAAGACACTTTCTTTCTTTTTCTCGCCGTCAGTGTGGGCATCATATTTCCAAGTCAAGAAATCACTTTCCGCCATGGATCACTGGCATTGATAGCATAATCTTTTTTTTTTTCTTTTCTTTTTGATCCGAGAATGTTAAACTTGTGTTTAATTGCGCCGATCTCCATGAAACAAAGCATCTTCGTTTCTAGATGTTCTTTAAAGAAGCGGGAGAAAGAAGGGAGGCATAAAAAAAACCACTCTCGAAAAAAAAAAACAAGAAAAAAAAAGGGACAACTGAGGGGTTATAAAGTGTGGAGTTTTCTGGTTTTTTTTTTTCCTACGCATGTTGTTTCCCCAGTTTTTACCAAATCAAGCAAATCAAGAACGCTCGCGTGTTTATTTTTTCCTAAATCATCCTTGTCACGTTTTTACAGCTTTCTTATCTGCGTACAACAGTCACTTTGAACTGCATTGATAGGGAATCACACATTTAAACATGTGTATGGCGCATGTGTATGGCCTGCAGTAGACTAAACTTGCATCTAAACTCCCCCATTATCTTACTGGTTTATGTAGTCTAGCATATCATAGGCATGTGACATCTGTCAGATTATGTATGTACTAACAAACTCCCAATGCATTTGTGTTAGCTCGAATTAACAATTTTTATTATTCGTACTATAATGGAACTGAGCTTTTTATATCATCCAAACATACGCATCAGAAAAGAAACCAATGGGAGATTTTTTTTTACAACAACCACCGGAGACAGAAGCCAGCAGTGATAGCGACAGCAGTAAAAACACGGGAAAAACCGCCACCGTATCCAGCCTGTGCAAAGCTAGGTTTGCTCGATCCATCACCGTCTGGTGCAGTTGTCTTGGTCGGTTGTGCCGGTGATCCAGATCCAGAAGTTGTGGTCACGTTTCCGTTGCCGCCACCACCTTCTTTTCGTTGAATCGCCAGGATACCATGACCTGTAGACGAATGTTCTTGGATCTTGGCTGTCTGTGGATCTTCACCCGTAGGAATATTTTTTCCAACAGCATAGATCACATGCAACTCTTTAGCATCAGGAAGGATTGTTCCTTTTGCAGTCACTAAAGGTCTTGTGAATGTACAAGTAAAGCTGCTGTTAGAAGCCATGACTCCAGATTTGGCTCCGAGGACTTGGAACTCGACTGCAGTTGGGATCTCGGTCGGATCGTCATTGGAAGTAGCAAACCGTTGTGAGAGGATCGCGCCTTGTCCAGTGGTCGTAGGCCAACACATCTTGATTGATAAGGCGTATTTTTATATGTTTACATGGATATACGATTCAAGCATTAGCTTTTTTCTTTCGTTCATCTTTTTTCCTTCATTTTTTTCTCTACCAGTGAATAAGTCAAAAAAAAAAAAAAATAAAATAAAAAAAAAATAAAAAACTTACTGCGAGATCGTTGCCATCCATGTCTGTGGCCTTCCCTCCAAAGCCGATACCAAGCCATCCAACTTGAGCCTTGGACCAGAGTGAGAACTCAAGTGTGTTAGGGTCATTCGAATAAATAGTAGCAGTCATACACATCTCTGCAGAACATAGGGCTTGTGTCTCTGGGCCTTGACCAGTAGTCAAAGTCAGAAGGGTGGTGGCTAATGTGCAAATAAAAAATAAAAATAAAAAAATAAAAAAATAAAAATCGATTTAATGACGTGGTGAGACGTTTCACATGAAACGCTTTTTGCCACCAATTTTATTTTCTCTCTATTCGCTCACTTTGAATTAATCAAAGAAATCCATACAGATGCCAAAGACGCGTAAAAGTAATATTGAAATCAATAATAATAAAAAGAAAAAGTTACGCGTCTTTACCTGAAAGAATACTGAAAAGAACACAAAAGATGTGTCCAGCTTTATAGGCATACGAATGCGACTGTGAGGGTGCCATGTTGAGTTTTTTAAGATAGAAAGAGCAGCAGATGTTTTTGAGAGGGTGCCAAGGCGGAGAAGGGGAAGAAGTGAAGCGAAAAAAAAAAAAAAAAAAAAAAAAAAAAAGCCGAGGAAGGTTCAGCAGAGAAAGAAGAAAAGAAGGAAGAGGCTTGAGAAAGGAAAGGAATAGTAAGAGCTTATATATAAATATTTTATATGAGGCACATGGTATACCCAATGAAGAAAAGCGTGTGAGAATAAATAAAAAAACAATACATCTCTGAAGAAATTGATAGAAGCATGATAATTTAATCTGATTGAGAAAAAGGTTGCCAATCGATCTACAAAACAATTACTAAACAAAGGTGAGTGTACCTCAATGTTGTATTTATGGGCCCTATTTGTATACATTTCCAACCAAGCTGGTGGCACCTTTTTGTCTTGCTGAAAGAAAGTAGTCGCGTGGGCATAATCATCTCGATCGAAGTTCGGAGGGGATACTGAATGTACATAAAATGGTTTACGGTTGTTGTTGTTGTTGTTGTTGTTGAGGCAGAATCTCGGTCACCATCTTTTGAGAAATTAGATTTTCTGCTGATTTAGGCAGTTGGGCTCCATTAATGCATCAAAAAAAAAAAAAAGGTCGGTCCAGACCTATAGACGTAGGAGAAAGGGATATGGTCCATGCGACCCCCTCGGATCTGAATTTCTTTTTTTTCTCTCCTTCTTTGGTAACACGAGATGCAGAACCAGAACGGCCTCGGTCTTCCTTTCTGAACAAAAAAAAAAAAAAAAAAAAGAAAAGAAAAAACATCAAAATTACCCATCAGCACGTTCCACAAATGTACTCCATCTTAGTACATCTCTACTTTTATTGTCTTTTGTCTCTTGACGCGATGATTCAATTACATTGCAATGCTGGGACATAAACATGAAAAATGACTATCATGGTCGTTGGACGGAATAACTTTTTACGCAAAATATCAGCATAAACGGGGGGTGTATGACATGTATGGAAGTATTAAGAATGAAGAGTCTTTTTTTGATGTTGTTTATTAGTGCATAAAATTGTTTAAAGGTATTTTGGATTAGAGATCATAGTATACACAAATGCACAGCATGTTTATAAATATCATTAAAAAAAAAGATTCTCGAGAATTTCCCTGAACCTCATCTTTTTTTTTTTTTTTTTTTTTTTTTTAATGCTTTGTTTCTTTTTAAGAAACAATGCCAGCAATGCAGGCAGAGATCAAAGTTGAAACAGCGCCGGCCATACAGGCCGAGAAGGACAGACGAGCGATCGCATCAGCACGGTCAGGTGCCAAGGTCAAGAACAAGGAGATTTGAGTACCAATGGAACCAACATTGGCGAATGAGGCCATTGCGTAGGTCGTCAACAAAGCCGTACGGGGATTCAATGTATGTTGAATCTTCGTGAACTGGGCAAAGGCTGCAAATTCGTTTAGAATGAACTTGATACCCATGGCCTCAGCTGCTGGAGTCAAATCCTGAGTTGGAATACCAATCAACCAAGCCAGAGGGTACAATACCCAAGATGCGATCTTCTCAATCGAAATCTCCACGCCATAGAAACCAAAGATCCAGCCCAATAAACCGTTCGCCAGACCTAAAAGCGAAATGACTGCCAAGAGCACAGCAACGATGACGATGCAGAGCTTGATACCAAAGATGGCTCCGTTCGAGATAGCATGGATGGCATTTGATTCACGATCCTTATAAGCTGGAGCCACAGCAGTTCCCTTCGTAAGAGGGACTTCTACCTCAGGGTAGCGAATTTTGGAGATGACGATGGCACAAGGAACAGACATCATACAACAGGTCAAAAGAGCAGTCGCGTCAGCTCCGAAAGACAAAAGACCCAAGAAAACAGAGCCGGAGATGGTGGCGAAACCAGAGGTCAAGACCTGATGCAACTCTGCCTCAGTCATCTCTGAGACGAAGGGACCGACCAACATAGAGGCCTCGGACATTCCCACAAATGGAGCAGCACATGCAGCCACACATTCGACACCAGAGATATCAATAATGTGAATGACAAGCGAGGCCATGGTGGCAACCACAGACTGGACAATGTTATAATAGTACAAGCACTGGATGACAGCAGCGAACAGAATGATGGCTGGTAAGACTGAGACAGCGAAGGAACTAGCTAAAGGCCAGGGTACATCATTTACTACCACAGAGTTGGGTCCAAAAATGAACTCGCGACCCTGAGAAGCATAACTAAGGAAGTTTTCGGCCTGCTGAGCAATAAATTGGAAGATTTGGTAACCAACACTCCAGCGGATGATGAGAAGAGCAAGAATATATTGCATAAAGATTCCAGTCCACACGATTCTCCAGGAAATGGCCTTGCGATTCTATGGGAGTAACGTAATGTAATTGGAGCACGCAGTAAGTAATCAAATACGTTGACATGTATGTTTAGATTGCATAGTCGCGTGGTGACTAGAAAAAAAAGAAGTCTGTGCTTCAAACAAATAAACAAGGCCGTGTGATACAAAAAAAAAAAAAAAAAAAAAAAGGAAAAGAGGAAGAGAGTGCATGTAGTCGAAATGTAATTCATGCCTCATCGGCACATGTCCTTCATGAGAAACATGAACTAATGAGGTAGTCAACAATAGAGGACTAAGAAAAAGAATTTTACAAAACAAAGGACTAAACTAATTGTTGGCATCATTGTGCTGGTACTAAAAATACATTAGCAGGCCAAAGGGCAATTTGATCGAACATCTTATCCCATAGTAGATGCTGTTCATCCCTTTTTTTTTTTTTTTTTTTTTTTTTTTTTGATGATGAAAATTGTGGAAATGCACAACAATTTACCTTGGAGAAGGCAATGGTAACCAATAAGAGGACCACCAACCCCAAGCAGGAGATCAAACGTTGGGCACGGGTACCATGGGCGTCATCCGATCTTAGCGCTGCAGTTAAGATCAAGGCCAAGGGTGGAATGCCATAGCCGATCACCTTGACACCTAAGCTAGGCATCATGTTGATTAATCTTGCACCTCCATTCCAGAGAATCGATACTGGTTTTGAAGCCATTCCAGAGGGTAAATGTTGAAGTGCAATCCACCACACAATGGCCCCATACAACAGTGAGAGGACTAGCAGGTTTCCACTTTTGTGAAGGACCGCTGCGGGCACAAAGAGACCTGTGCAGATCAAAAAGAAAAGTAAATGGCTCCAAACTTTGGTATGTCGATAATAAAATGCAAAGCGGCCATGGTATGAACGTTGAGAGGCTGCGTCAAGGTCCTCGAGTTCTTCCATTTGTTGTTCTCTGTCTTCTTCATAATCTGATGATGGTTTGTGATGATCTGGATCTACTTTTTGATCCTCCATGTGGAGGGATGTTGGTTTTTTGAGGGACATTGTTTTAGTAGAAGTTGTATGTGAGAAGTGTGAACAAATGAAGGGAGAGACGGATTAGAGGAGAATGATAAGAGAAGCGGAGAGAGAGAAGGATGGAAATAGGAGGAGTAATGGATAAATTCTTTAAGAATTGACAGCAAAGTGTGGGGGATCTAGACAGATGCCTAAAAAGAGGGAAAAAGAAAAAGAAAAAAAAAAAAAAAAAAAAAAGGGTGGAGACTTAATATAATAAATACTGACTGATCAACGAGAGTGGACGGGACAAAATGGATGTAGAACTCCAGGAACAAATGTTTGAATTGCCATATGTCATGAATTTGAGTGTCCCAAGCCAATAAATATAATTAGTCAAGAACTTTTAAGTCAAGGTTACCTGATTTGTATCTCCTTACGTGTACACATACATTCATTCCTAGATATGCACCCCATTTCATGTTTAATTTTACTCGGTTTGGAGTAAGTTGCCCTGTTGAGAAAGCCTTTCTTTCTTATTTTTATTTTTGTTGACAGCATTCAAAGAGAAGAGTTGAGGTGAGTTTTGTAGGAAGCAATCGAGCTGTTAACAAAAAAAAGAAAAAAGTCATATGAAATTCTTACAGCCCGCCCACAGCAGTATGCATAACTGGACTCAACTCTAAGTCGCGCTTTCTGAATCTACTCGGGGTCAAGGACTTTTTTAGGCCAAAGTTAGAGCCAAGAAGGAATTTTTTTTTTTTTTTTTTTTTTTTTTTTTAATATCCGCTTTTAGTAACAGCAATAATTTTCCCATCGAGCAAAGGGCGAGGAAAGGGTCTAATGTCCGTTCGGCCTCTCTAATCAAAAAAGTGGAGGCATATACTTCCAACTTCGTACGCCACGTTGGAAGTCTGATCTTTCTTTCTCCCACCCTTGTTTCCTTGAAAAGCTTGGCTTTTTTCTCGGTGAGGAAGAATAATCCATACTTCTTATGTGCAAAATTGTTCCAAGGAAAAGAGTATGAGAGGAAAAAGAAGAGAGATAAGTGCTAGTCTAATTGTTGATGGTGATGGGAGAGGATTAGAAACAGATATTGATTGCAGTATTCCTAGCATTGCAAGAATATCTATTGTTTAGTTACACTTATGACACTGCCAATAAACAGAGTTTTCTTTTGGAGGTTTTTTGTTGGTGATAGTGCAGAATCAAGTTCCTCTCCTAAGTCTTCCAAGCTAACGTTTACATCATGCACTAAGCATTAACCATGTATTGATCGAAACTCTCTTATGTTGCCCCGCATTTTTTTTTTTCTTTATGGTCTAGATTGTTGCATTTTATATATCATGCTTTGCCTTTAACCAAAGGTAGTCTACGTGTGTATATACTTGGGGTGTTGGCTCACATATATTATATATACATATGCTTGAAAACCCGATGAAGCTTGTTCAAAGCCTAAAAAGAATGCCTATCAAACGGAGTAAAATCCGAATATTCATCCTCTGCCGTAAGGAGCCTAAAAAAAAAACTGGAGACAATATGCACCCTATTAAAGACGAGCGGGAATTAGATCCAGTCCAGAAATGTGTGAGCCAATGATTACCATCATTAATCTGTAAATATGAACTGATGGAAGCAAAGAAAAAAAAAAAGGACTACGCAAAGGTGAAGAATATGTCAGTTCGATGGTGAAAAAGCCAACTAACTTCCTGTAGCCACATCTTCTATTGACTGGTTCGAATAAGTCTTTTTTTTTTTTTCTTGATTTTTGCATCATACTTCACTCTTTTTCACACGTATCTCCCAAAAGAGACTTGATGTGAATGAAGGCTCTCTGAATTCTTCCATTTCTTTTTTTTTTTTTTTTTTTTATTGTTTTGCACGTAATCATGCACCGCCGCACGCAAGGATGCTACAATTGAAAATGTTCATTTTTTTTTTTTACCACGGCCTTTTCTGTAATACATGTAATAAAAAAAGTGGCTCTCATTGGCCTACATACAGCCAATGACAGTTTTCGCCAGTGTTGCACAACAGGAAAAACACGGAATTAATTTTTTTTCGCCTCTTGGCCGCTCAATATGTTTTTTTTCTCATGTGCCATGATAAATATCTAATTTATACTTGTGCATGAAATGAGTGACTTTTTTCTACATGGGGGGGATGCATGTATATATACCCTTGTTACCATGTCCTTCTTTTCGAGATTTTCTCTTTGAACATTAAAAAAAAAAAGTTTTCTTTATCCATCCAAAAAAAAAAAAAAAAAAAAAAAAAGGTCCTTCATTATATTGCGCAAGATGACGACTGAATCAATGTTTAATTCACATCAATCAGATCATCGCATTGTGCACTGTTTTCTGTCAGGGACTAAGCATAAATAACTTGTATAAATATATATGCCATTTGTCGTGTGGAGAAATTAAACTCTTGACTAAAAATACAAGATGCCCTGTTGTTCATCGGTTAATAAATATTATAGCATACCCCCATACGAACGCATGAGAACAAACATTGAAATTTCGTGACAAAAGTAATGAGGTACACATTTTATTTCTATACACCTGAACACAAACTTTTTTGTTGTTATTGCTATTATAAATTATTATATTGTTACTGTTACTTCTCCCAAGCACCATCTGCGTTAGGGCGCAACCCATCATTACTATCTAATGGAAGCTCAACCAACGAGTCAAAGATAACTTTGCCCACCATAGGCTCCACCCTCGCAATATCTTCCTTTGTAATGAAATCATTCGTGATGCGTTGCGCAAACACCATCATACAAGCACCTGCACGAATGCTGTTGCTCTTCTTCTTTTTGCTGCCATTTTCCATACCATTGCTATTGCCATTGCCATTACTCTTGTTCATGCGAATAAGGGGTGCACTCGTTGATGTTTTGGCTAAATGGTACAGCACAAATGTCTCCATCTCTAATGTCATCGTGTTGGGTTCATGCTTGAGCAACTCTTCAAACAAAGTTTGGTTCACATCCACAAAATTCTCGTCCTGACGACCCTGTGAAGAATAAAACGAATCCGCTGTAGCATTGATTCCTGACCAGATATGGTTCTCTCCCAGTTGAGCCTTCAAATTTTTCACCAATGTACGTGTAATCTCTGGATCTGCTTTAAACACCTTGGAGAAACTATAGGGCGTCCCTTTATCGCTGCTGTCAATTTCTTCATCGCTACTATGGTCGTGATCTGCAAAATAGTTGACGTTACGTTGAACAAGATATGATCCAGAGGGCACACAGACGTCACCAACTGCTGCATTCGACAGGGAACCGCAGGATCCTAAACGAATGATGATCATTGGTCCATCCACAACAGCTCTGCACTCGCGCACAAAAAAATCCATCATGGAAATACCCATTCCTAATTTTTTTTAATTTTTCAATGAAAATTAGTTTGTTACAAAAAAAAAAGTTACCCGCGAATACCATCTCCGTCATTACTAAATCATCATATCATTGATTAACAACAACAACAGCAACCTTACCAATGGCAACAATAGAGACAGGGACGCCTTTATAAGTTCCGGTGATTGTCAAGAATCCACGATGGGAAGAAAGGCTAAAGAGGTTGGCAGGAATAGTCTTTGCAGGCGTATTTTCTAAATCCACACCGTCTAAAGAACGAGAAAGAATAATTGCACGAGCTGGATCTCCAACCGTCACGATCCTATTTGCCAGCTCTCCATGCTTGACACCGACATGGCTATTAAAGAGAATAAGCCCCATTAAGGTGAGGATGAATTAATAAATTATATGAGGAAAATCAAAAAAAGTAAGAAAATAAAAAAATAAAAAAGGGGCAAGAAATACTTACTAGGTACGCCCTTCAGCGTCCATAGGGAAGTTAGCATTGGTCATAGACATATTGAACAACTGTTTTATGTGTGTGTGTCTGTTTGAGAAAATAAAAAAGGAAAAAGGAATGAGGAAAAAGGAATGAGTTGATGGGAAAGTGGAGGAAGAAGAATGTTGTTCCTGACTTTGTCTCATTACCCTCCCTTTTATACCTTTTATATTAAGGTCGAAGATGAAAAGACCGTGGGCACTCTTCGTGCATCCCATCCAATAAGAGCAGAATAAGAAAAAACGCCCCATTTCCATTTCCACCAAAAAAGTCATGATCGAATTTTCTATAATTACACCCAAATAGTGCAAAGTAACGAACAATTGTTTGTATCTTTAGCATATGAAGCAGATCACATGCCTCATCCTCTTTCGATGACCAACGGATTTACAAGCTTTTACTGTGAAGTATAAGAAGTATAAAAGAAAAAGGACAACGTAATAGACATGAAAGCTACATTGTAAATAAATAAATAGTAATGGTATTTGTTGCAAACTACTTGTAGGCAAACCTTTTCTATTATTCGTTCAATGCAATCACAACCATCATACCAACACCAATCAACATTGCAATCACTTCCGATCCAAATTGTCGAGCATCCTTTGCAAACTTGCCAGTGACCGTCAACAGCTCTGGAATGACCCCAACAGTGGCAATATACAAGAATCCTCCTGCAGTGAATGGGATCACAAGATCACCTGCTCGCATCGGGATACTTTCAAACCCGAATAGTGCCAATTTTTCTTCTCCCAATGCTGGATCTCCTCCGGCTTTGCTCATCTCTTCAATAGCAATACCAGCTAAGGTACCCAAATAGGCTCCAATTGCGGTCACAAATTGAGACATCATAGCCTTGCTACGCGGGAAACCGGATTGGATCAAAATCGCATAATCTCCTACCTCATGTGGGATCTCATGAAAGAATACCGCAACTGTCGTAGTCGCTCCAATGGCTGGTGAAGTGTAGAAGGATGCTGCCATGGCCAACCCGTCTGTGAAGTTGTGGGTCGCATCTGCGATCAAGTTCAAATAGGCTGATAATTTGATACTGTTCGAAATCTCCTTCTTGTCCTTTCCTTCACCTTCGACCTTGGTTTTGTCTCCAGTAGTGTCCTGATCTTTAGCAGCATTGTTTTTACGTTGACGCAAACCTGAGTCCTTGTCTTTGTGCTCATGATCATGATCATGCTCGTTCTCACTATCGACCTTCTTGCTATGGGCGTGACCATGGTCATGACCGTGGCTATGACTATGTCCTCCTTCTCCACCGCTCAAAACTCGCATGATCTTATCAAGACAGAAGAATCCAAAGAAGCCTACAAAGATGCCGAACCCAACCACCACATTCTTGGTCTCGTTCGCTGTCACTACATCGCCTGTATGGACCTCCCCCATAAACGAATGAGGTAACAGATGTAAGAATACATCGCCCAATAGACCACCAACCGCAAATGCTACTAATGTATTCAATGATTCAGGTTTGATATCTGGAGGAACAAAGTATAGCAACAGGTTGGGGATCAAGGAAATATACGTCGTACCCAACAATGAGTTGACCATGGGTGATCCTGGGAACAAGAACGCAAATATAGCCTTCATCCGACTATTCGTCACTGTGTCATAACCATGCTCCACTCCAGAGCCTACCAAGTTTCCATCCTTATCATAGATAGGCAAAGCATGATACATTTGCTCCTTCTCATCCGATGCGCCATGGAAAGGGCATCCACCTGCTTTCTCGGGATCAACATTGGCATGAACATGGTCTTTTGGAATGCTATGACTGTGCCCATGACCATTCTTGTGTGCATGGACCAAGGTAATGAAAGTTAACACCAAGGTTGCAAGTGCCAGAAGCCAAATGGCCCTGGTACGATTGAAGGTTGCCATTCGCAAAAAGTGATTCCTTAATACGTCTTCCCTCTAGCTTTAGGTATGAAGAAAATAAATAAATAAATAAAAAGTCAATAAGCGGTGAAATGATAAGTAAGCGTAGAATGCAGAAAATGTCATCTTTGCATCTACTTGATTTTACCCAATGTATACTTCAATCGAGGTCTGAAGAGATCAATTGAACTGAAGTGAAAAGAAAATAAAGTATGAAATGAGAAGGTAGAAGGTGTAAGTGCTTGTGTTTTTGGAGGGAAAGGGAGAGTAATCTCTTTGGAACCAGGGAAAATTTGACTCTTGAGAACGTGTCGCAACTAAAACCATGCCGTGGACGCGATTCACTGGCGCGCGTTTATAAAAATTGATTAAGTTAAGGGGTTCAGGATGGTTTTCGACTTTCTGCATGAAGCTCACACAATGCATCTTTTTTATTCGACAGATGAGAGGAGGGGGTATAGATGATATAAATATAGTAGTTGTTTATGTAGAAATAAAGATTATTATTACATAATTAGGATGCTGCTTGGACTGAAACAAACATTCGTGGCTCTGGAGGCTGAGGCTTGCTTGATCCACGGTCTGGCACTTCGGGCAAAAAGTGCAGCTGCGGACGGTACTGCAGGCGCTGTGCGTTAGACCAACGTGTCATCCAGTCGGGAATATAATTCAAGAAGACCTTACGAACAACATCCGCCATAATACCCTAAGTATGTTGTAAGGTAAAAAGTAAAAAAAAAAAAAAAAAAAAAAAAAAAAAGTGTTTGTATTTCTAACGACTGATATATCGTTCATTTTTATTATTTGCATTAATATTTTCTCTTTGTTTACCTTGTTCGACATGATCTTGCCAAATTGACGAGCGTTATTCAATGCATCCTGTGCGATCTTGGATCTCTTTTCAAAATAGTTTTCAAAGATCAAGGAGATATTCTCGCGTGTAGGTGAAGGCATATCCACAAGAAGATTGCACAGATGCACTCCATCCAAGATAGCCAAATTGGCTCCCAATCCAGCGCTAGGCACAACCTATTTGTTGAAAGATAAAAAAAAGACAAAAAAGCAACAAAAGGAAAAGCGCTCAGTCAATACACAAAATCCAGTGAAGATGTACTATAAGTTGCTACCATAAATTAGTAAATTAGTGGATCATGCTAACCTTGTGACAGGCTGTCAAAAAAAAAAAAAATTAGTCAAATAGACGACTTAAAAAGTCAAAAAGCCAAAAAGTCAAAACGTCAAAACGTCAAAACGTCAAAAAAAAAGACATACCATCGCCTAAAAGGACAACACGTCCATGATACCATGTTTGAAAGTACTTTTCTTCAAGCGCAATCTTAGAGATGAGGCTCTTGTCTGTCATATCAATGATATCGCCCAATGTCTTTCCCTTGAGAGGGCTACGCTGGTGTCGTACAAACTCAATCATCTCGGAGGACGCCTCGGGACCCCACTCTGATAACCTCGCCTCTCCTTCCAGAGCCTCTGCTCGAGGAACATTATGAATAACCGCCCATGAGAGACGGTTACCAGGAAGAGGCATATAGATAGCCTATAAATACATATTTGTATACATTTACGGCATGAAGCAAAAAGTTAGAAGAAATGTTTGAGTTAGATGGCATATGTACATCGGCTATTTTACTGATCTGCAAAAAAAAAAAAAAAAAAAAAAAAAAGAAAAGCATGATGGACGTTACATAGAAAGGATCGGTCTTTGGAATGACAATCTCAAAATCGCAGGTCTCTCTTCGAAGCATCTCATCATCCTTGGGATCTATCGGCGCACTAACTCCCACTATCCATTTGAAAATATACCCCAATTAATAAAATAATGATTACAATGTGTGTGGATTGTGCCTTTAATTTATTAAAAAAAAAAAAAAAAAAAAAAAAAAAAAGCTTACCGAGACAATGTTGGTCAAAGCTCAACGGTTGAGCATCGCTAAGAGGAAGCAAACCTTTCGTATTAAGGGTACTGTAAATGTTGCGTCGAACAGCGGAATAAGCTCCATCTGCACCAATAACGATATCACTTGTATAGGAGCTATCAGAAAGGAAAAAAAAAAAAAAAAAAAAAAAAAGAAGCAAAGGTGGCCAAAAAGCCAATGCAAAGATTTTAGTGACATGTTGTTCAGGTTGGTAGCATTAAGCACGTCTCTCCAATTTTTCAGAGGGCTTTTCTGTGTAAGCATCATCAAAGTTGCAACACAAGAAGCTTTACCTGCCATCAGCGCATCGCACTGTTGCACTGTTGTCGTCTTGTTCGATGTCCTCAACCTTCTTGCCATAAAGGATTTTTTCCTTGGGTAGCTTCTTAAGTAAACAGTTGTAGAACGCTGGACGATCGAGGATAATAGCTGGATATCCACCACTGGTTTTTTTTTTTTTTTTTTTTTTTTTTTTTTTAAAAAAAAAAAAAAAAAAGACAGAATATTCCATTTGACATCTGATTAGAGAGCAATTCCCATAACGTTTATTTCATGCATGGATTGACACGATATTTATACGTTAGAAAGATACAGACAACAAACATTAATTATGGTGTATAACTTACATCTCAGTCATGCAGGAGAAATCGACGATACCAATGGGTTGGATCGACTCATTATAGAAATTAAACTGTCGAACCGGTTTGGAAACCTTCATGAACTCATCCAAGAGGCCCAATTGCTCAATCACTCGTAGAGTCGAAGCATCCAATCCAAGAGAAGAACCCAATGCTCGAATGGTCTTGGCTTTTTCCAAGATAATATATTCAATCCCTGCTTGTTCAAACATGTTGGCCAATGAAAGGCCTCCGATACCTCCTCCTACAATCGTCACAGTAAGTTTTTTGGGTGGTTGCTCCATGATGTAAGAGATTGTAATGACAGAATGAAAAGAAATGAGTAAAAAAAAGAGAAGCTTGCAATTCAGAGATGGAAGGCCGAAGAGGAAAAAAGAAAAAAGTGAGAGCAACGGTCGGAAGAGAGAAAAGAGAAAAAAATGACAACAGGGAGAAGGAAGATGAGAGAAGAGATTAAAAAAAAAAGAGGGTACAGAAAAGCCATCCACATGAATCCACATGAGAGCCATTCACGGTGTCACCAAATTTTACGCCCCATTCGAAAACTCCTTGCAACATTTCATAAGGTTCAACGGTTCGATTCGCCCAAAACCCAAGGCTTAATACCCAGTTGCCCAAACAGCCTCTCGTTTCCCTTGTGGGTCATGGTTGAGATGAAAAAATAATGTCAATCAAAGAACGCCCTTAGAGGTGACATTACGTCGTTGTGCAGGGAGGCTTGCAGAATTATCCGACGCGTTCATGCTCTTTTTTTTTTTTTTTTTTTTTTGTGTTGATCAATATGTTCGTTGTGAAGCTTTTGCATAGGATCAACACAAAAGTCGTGCCTTACTTTTGATCTCCTTGGCTTCTTTTGTCTGTAAAAACCCAAGCTGACTGAGAATAATGTCAATCAGAACATAAAGGCTCTGTACAACCTGCCAACAGCTAGTGGGGATATCTCCATCATTGGCTTCTCCGTATTCGATCAGCATAGCAGACAAAATGAGTATTGAAATGCTATGTGAGTACCACACATTTTTATTGTACCCACAATATCCTCCAATTGGACTATTTCGAAAAACCGAGTTACCGGATAGAGAAAAGAGTCATTCATGTTGATAAGGTAGATGAAATATACATAAATACAAAGCCTTTTCAAAGTGTTCTATATCCGGTGAAGTTAACTCGAGGGTGATACAGAGCCTTGACTCTATTGAAACACTCATTTGCATTGTTTACAGAATTAGTGGCGCTTCTGTCATTTACTTTAATTATAACGATCAAGACCTCTAATGCTCCATCTCTATCATCTCTTGGACTGAAGATGGGGTGATTTGGTGGTGACAGAGAATCTGGGCTTGAACCTAAAGCTATGCCTGTGTCTGAATCTGGTTTTGGTTCTGGTTTTGATTTTGATTTTGGTTGAGGAAGACACCCGATGATTCACGGATCTGTTGCATACTCATAACCTGTTCTTGCTCACGACCTTGTTGCTCTTGTGTTGGCGGCTGCGTACCAGAATGCGTCAAATTTGGGTCTGAGTTGGGAGTATGTTGAGTGTGTTGCTGAGAAGGCTCGAGGGGTCGAGGCATGACCATGTAAGGTACATTAGTATACTGATTCTGTGCTTCGTTCTGGTAATAGTACTGTTGCTGTTGCCCTTGTTCCATCGCGTACAGTGGATCGTACAATGGTTGACCATCCGGTTGGATCGCTATTGGCGATTGAGGCATTACTTGAGTGCCAGTGGTAGCACAAACAGCAAGAGGGGTGGGGGCGGGGGCGCCATGATAATGGTCATTATTGCGGTTGAAAAAACGATATCTATTTCGGTATCCTAGATAGATAAACACCATGAGGAGGATTGTTGCGAGCACTAGCGCAAAAAATGTTGGATTCATAAAGCCCATTTACACAAGAAGCAGAGAAAGAAGATTTAAAAGGAGAAGATGGAGGGGAGAAAGGATTGAAGGAATGTTTTTACTCTTTTTCTTTCCTTGCGGCAGTTGTCCTTTTTTATAGAGATAAACATCATGTATTTCGCCGCTCGAGCAAACAAAATATGTATTTACTTGGCT